CAACATTGGGCAAGAACAGTTGGCTCATATGTTGGTTTAAAGAAAGTTATCTATTCTGAATTATAGCCCTGACAGGGTTCTTCTCACCTTGACCTAATTTTCATGGGTTATTGATAATGTTAAGTTTATTTAAAACCATTAATAGGACCATTATTTTAGACTTGCATCCTTAATTCAATCTTATTAAGTAAAGCAGGCAAGACATTTTAGTTTATCGCACCGCGGGTAAATTATCACATTGTGATTGGTTTAACGCCGTCACATGGTGACCCCCTATGGATCCGTAGGGGGTTAGTAAATTTCATAGTGGGTTCATGACGTCACGTCTAATGTTAATGGTGACGTCATCTATTGATGTTTTTGTATTTCATTGATATTTTCTACAAAACGCTGCAGTAAAAGTATCGCGTGCGATAAATTCGTTATACGGTTAACTACTGACCCCCTACGGACCATAGAGGGTGAATAAAATCCAAAAGAGATTCGGCCTCCGGCCTCACCCCCTATGGATTTTACTAACCCTCTATGGATCCGTAGGGGGTCAGTAGCGAACCATATAACTTATAGTGTGCACTATTGGATACGCTACAAGGAAGTTTGGTTCCAATCAACTAAGAGGTTTTTCTGAAGGTCAAAATATCGATAGTTGGAAATGTTAGATTTAATGCAACAACATCAATTTTTTATGCTCTTTCATATGCAAAATGTCCTAGTAGATGTCTACTGGCAAAATCTATGTTTTGGGTAGTACAGTTTCAGGGGAGGTAGCTGTTAGTGAGATGCTCAACTCTCAATGTCCTGTTATTATTTGAAGAATTAGGTGTTGATGGGTAATCTCTTCAAAGCCTTTCTTTCAGACTAGGGTTGACTTAGAGCTTGTCCTATTATATAGATACATCTCTATTGGCGAAGTGTGTATGCCGAACTCTAGGTTTCTTTTGGTTATTTGTGTCGTTAGAGTTATTGTCTTATTGACATATACCCCACATTTCCTTTATACTTAGTCTTGAATGCAGAGTATGCTACAAGTCACCAGAATCGAGATGACATTTTTTATGTTTGAAAGAGTAGGGTAAAGTGGACAAGTTTAATTGACTGATGACATTTCAGTAATGCAACATTCACTCCTTTGAAATGTATTTTTGAACTAGGTTTTCCAAGGAAAGAAAACAGGTATTAAATTAAAGTACGGCGGGAGGGCGGGTGTTGGGCGGCTACCAACAGTTTCTATGCAATAACATATGAACCATTTAACAAATGCTTTTCAAATTTTAATTAGTTGATACTTATGACGAAATGGAGGTAAAGTTCGATATTGATGATTTTCACTTTTACGGTTCAGGAGCTTTTGTCCTTGACATATGGAAAAATGGCTTTTTATGCAATTTTCGTTCAATAACTTATAAATCCTCTACCAGTCGTTTTCAAAATATGTTGTTACTGATGACAAAAAGGAGGACAAGTATAATATTGAGGATTTTCACTTTTACCGTTCAGGTGTTATGGTCCTTAATCTATTGGAAAATGGCGTTTCATGTCGTTTACCTGCAATAACCTAATGAACCACTTGACAAATGATATGTTGTTACTTATGACGGGTGCAACATGTGGAGCATGATCTGCTTACCCTTCCGGAGCACCTAAGATCACCCAGTTTTTGGTGGGGTTCGTGTTGCTCAGTCTTTAGTTTTCTATATTGTGTTTTGTGTACTGCTGTTTGTCTGTTTGTCTTTTTTAGTCATGGCGTTGTCAGTTTATTTTCGACTTTGAGTTTGAATATCCTTTTGGTATCTTTCGCCTCTCTTTTTATAACAGCAAGAGTGCACACGCTGAAACGTCTCGCCAGCTTTATTTATGATTGAATTCGTGTTGAAAGTCTTTTACATGAAGGTTTTACTACAAGTATCACATAAACTTATCATTATCAATGATCCATGAAAATGAAAATGAAGTCACGGTCAGATGAACTATGCCAGACAGACACTTAATAAATATATTGGTCCTATAGCTTATAGTACCCGAGAAACAGATCAAACCACAAAATCTTAACATTGACCAATGGACCATGAAAATGGGGAAATATGAACCCTGCCAGACAGACATGTACACATTACAATTATTCCATACGCCAAATATACTTGACCTATTGCTTATGGTAACCGATAAACGGACATAACCACACAAACTTATCACTAAACAATGAACCATGAAAATGAGATCAATGTCGTATGAAACCTGCTAGAAAAACATGTACACCTTACAATTATTCCATACACCAAATATATAAATGACCTAATGCTATGATGAATGCTTTTTTCAATGAGTCACCAAAATGTCAATTTTATAGGTATATACATTATCCAGATACTTATCAATTTTATCTACAAAATCCTGCTAACTATATGTATAATAAATATATTTGTAGATATAGATTGTCTGCATACTGCCTTAACACTGAAACCGGTAGATTTTATTATATTGAAAAAGAAAAAGATTTTGTAATATGTGCGATAAACATCTGATTGAAGATGAATACCATCATATTTTAGTATGTGACAAATATTTTGATATAATAAAAATATATATACAACCGTTTTATTGGGACAAAATCATCTTGTTATAAATTTGTACAATTATTGTCTGTTCATAACATTAAAGAGTTTAACAATCTGGGTAAATACCTTTATTTAGCTGATAAGATTCGTTATTTTAAATATAATGCTCATATTTTATTATTTATATTATTTGTTGTCATTCTCCGCCGATGATTCAAACTTGTTTGTAATTGTAAAACACATATGTAATTAATCACAGATGTTATTATATTTGTATATGTAAATTCTATAAGCTGTATTGCTTTTGAATAAAAGAACTATTATTTTTACAGTATCTGAGATATAGACCAAATCACACAAACTTAACATTGTCCAATGAACCAAGAAATTGAGGTCAAGGTCAAATCATATTAAGTGGATCTATCAATCATATTGTCCAATGTCTAATAGATTCTGTTTTGACAAAAGATAGCATGGAATGGAAACAATATAATACAAAACAAACTTTTATTTGCATTCAAGAATGTTTCTAGACTATGATAATAATTTTTCATGATATATTAATTTGTGGAAATTAAAGCATCACCATAAGGTAAATGTACCCCCCTTCCCCGGGTATATAAAAAAAACATTTTCACAAAATTTTCATCTCATCAAAAGAGATATATGTTCTTATAATGAAAGGTAGTCTCAAAAGTGAAAGTTGGTGAATAATAATAATCTTATCATTGAATATGATACTACAGAAAGGAAACGACCTTATATGTTTTTTTAAAATAACGTTAATATATTGAGATGAATGATGAATACATTTTTACTTGAAACTACATATTTTACTCCACAAAGTGAAATCGATTTTCAAATATTAATAAAATTGGTTAACTTATAAATGCTTTTTATAAGTATTATAAAAAAAATGACTGACTGTCTATTATAGTTTTCAAGATGATAGTCTAAAACGAAAATTAGGTAAATAGTTAATCAAGGGAAATAACTCTTTATATGAGTCAATTGATGATTTCGGTCATGTGACATATTTGAAAACTTGGTATAGTTGATCATTCTTGCTCTGATAGTTACAGTCTATATTATAGAATGTTCACGATAATAGCCAAAAACGCAAAAATTGATAAAAATTATTTGATTTATTTGTAAATCGTGTTATGCTGATTATTGTTAGCTATTTATATTTCTGTTTATCTATATGTTTCAAGACGCGGTAAAAAATACTGATTGGTCAAAAGCCATCGTTTATCAGCAATGACTCCCACAGGCGCTTTGGGGAATCAACACCCTCTTTTTTCTAAATATTTTTTAAATATTTTTTCTATGCTGTAATATTTTAACTTACTTTTCACTTATTTGATGTGTTCTTGCTCTCATCCATACGATATTGTAGTAACAGTAGTATATAATGTGTATTCTTTATTATTATGATTAAACTCATCATAGTTACCAGGATTACATTAATCATATTAATAGAGTAGTCTGACAATGTTGATCTTAATAAATGAATATATATGATATAAGTCTATAAAAAAGACCATCTAGCAAATTTAATGTGTACCGGATCGTCTAGAATAGACGATACTGCGCAGATAAGGAAAGAATTACAAAAGTCTTAAGATTTGCGCAACAGTACTAATATAAGATGGTAATATATGAAGATGATGTTATAAAATCGTGTTGAAAACATTTCGGCTGAACAAATAGCCTTCGTCAATGTCATTAATTTAACAAACAGTATTGTTAAAATTCTTGACACTGACGAAGAAAAGGGTAGTTACAAACTCTTAAAAAATACACATACCAGATAATTGAGACGAATTTACACAAAACTAACTAATATATCAAAAACAAATACAAAAACAATTCGTTACTATCAACACAATGTAAAAAATACAACGAAAAAACCTTCCCAAAGCTATATTTTAGCAAATACTTGCACAAAACTAATAAATATCCGATTTAATGAATACGTTGATATGTAACATACGCCCTGTTGTTAAATGAAAAAAAAAACATTTATGCATACGGACAGTTACCACAAAGAGAATGGCGTTTTGTGCAAAACTAACGTACGCAACACCGGGAATGCTATTAAGGAACATTCAGTATGTATTGTTGAGTACAGTAAAGGCTTTCTAAAACTGTCGGTATTGGTGATTTGGAACTGGCAGTAAGGTGTAAGCTTGTGTTGAAGGCTTCACTGTGTTCTTGAGATTAAAAGCAACAATAAAAAGCTATGTGCCTTGTGTTTGTTTTTTGTCAAATTCGTGTTTGGATGAATTAATACACCATCTTATTATTTAGGCGTAGACAATAGATTAAACTAATCTTAATTGAACGCAAACTTAACATTTGAGCAGTACTGGATTTAACGCAATTGATATGTCTGAGATTAAATTGAAAAAACACATGACTAGATTTATTCATGTTCAGTCTTTTCAGATTGGACCAGATTTAACGGTATTTTCAGTATAAAATCTAAATACAGTTTTATCTTTGAATTTTGATTACATCTATCTTGAAAACCTATTTCAATTGCAAGTATTTTAATCAAATAACAGAAGCAACATTTCATTTGAGCGATTTCTTTTTATCCAAACACGTGAATATGATTAAATTTGTCATTCCTTAGAACAAGACGGTTTGCAGCAGCTTTATAAGATGGCTGAGCGTCATTGTAGATTACACCTGATGCCACATACGGGGAACAATGATCTTTAACTTCTGCTGGGAAAGTATCATACGCTGTATGAGAATCTATTCTGTGGTAAACGGTTCCGCAGTGTGGTCGACAATGCCCTTTGCTTGAGGTATGATCATGTACCGCGTTAACAACAGAATGAGCTTTAGTATTATCTAAATGACGTGTCCTTTTATCAACGCTTGCTATAAGAATGTTTCGGCCATGGTTCCTAAATTTGCTATATCCACCGCATACCTTATTCCAATGTTTGTCATCTCCAGTGACGTCTTTGTAAGAAATGACCATCCAGTCCCTCCAATAGTATTTTCGGGAAAGAGAATTGTACATGTTATTAGCCCAGTCATGATTGTTCATTTTATCTCCTGGATGATCAAGTGCATATCTGTCTATTTCAGCATTTGACTGGTCGTGATATTTAGAAGCTATAGTTCTATCGGCATGACTCATCGCAGATCGAACCTGATCTATGCGAGTTTTCCATTGTTTTGCGTGATAATCTACGTTAGATGATAGACCCTTCAGTTGTAGGTATGCAAGCTCAAGTTCGGCGGATTTCAACAACAAATTGAGAATTCCAGAACTGAATTCCGAGCATTTTCTGCGATCATATTTTGTATATGTCATGCAAGGGACTAGCAAGCCATCACCAAAGACACGACCTACGTTCAAGACTCCGTCATAAAGTTTAATGCCACTATTTTGAAAGTCACTTTCATAGTTGCTTATGAATAGCTGTTTCTCTCCAGCAAGGGCATTAGTTGGTGCCTGGTACATTTCTCTATATTTACGATAAACTGCATTGATTTTTTGTTCAATACTGGAAAACTGGACTTTTACGCTGCTCCAATTTATGAGTTGTTTTACATCGGAAAATTTTCTGTCTACTTGATCGAATCGAGTGTCGATATCTTTATGTAAATTTCGAATAGCCAGTAATTCTGCTGATGGTCCTTTAGGAATAAAACCAAAAACAAATGATATAAACGGAGCAACCACTCCTAAGAAAGGTGCTACTTTATCTGCTATCCTTACTAATCCTGTCGCAAATGCAGTCGAATTTGAAATGACTGAGGCAATGTCCTTGGCTGCATTAAGGCCGCTGCTGATGTGATCCGTGGTTGACGATCTCTTTTGTTTCACATCTCCGGCTAGTAAACCAGTGATGCACAAGGCAAGAACCAACGGCAGTTTCATCTGTGAATTATAGAATGAATGAATTGATTGATTGATTGATTGATTGATTGATTGATTGATTTGCACACAAATAGTGTATATGACGCCGAGACCTCCTCGTGATATTTAAGTCTATTTTTAGAATATAAAGAGACTGCATAGATCACATGGATATGTGTCTCTTCAAGTGGATAAATTCATCATAGATACGAGGATTGAAATTTTGTATGTGTGCCAGACGCGCGTTTCGTCTACAAAAGACTCACACATTCACGCTCGAATAAAAAAAAAGTTAAAAAGTCCAAATAAAGTACGAAGTTGAAGAGCATTGAGGACCAAAAATTCCTAAAAGGTTTGCCATATACAGCTAAGGTAAATAAAGGCAACAGTAGTATACCGCTATTCGAAATTCATAAATCGATTGAGAAAAAAACAAAACCTGGATTACAAACTAAAACTGAGGGAAACACATCAAATATAAGAGGAGAACAACGACACAACAGAAACACAACACTAAAATGCAACACACACAGAAACGAACTAAAATATAACAATGGCCATATTCCTGACTTAGTACAGGACATTTTAAGAAAAAATGGTGAGTTGAACCTTGTTTTGTGGCTAGCCAAACCTCCCGCTTTTATGGCAATGTTAAATATAACATTAAAATGACAAGATTACATGACAGGACTACAATATAAATAAATGGGAGAACATACAGGACAGAGACACACACAAATAATAGCTATCAAAAGGTACCAGGCTTATAATTTATCACGCCAGACGCGCGTTTCGTCTACACAAGACCCATCAGCGACGCCCAGACCAAAAAAAATTCGAAAGCCGAAACAAGTACTAGTACAAATTTGAAGAGCACCGAGGACCAAAAGTTCCAAAAAGCCGTGCCAAACACGGCTAAGGTTATATAAGGATAAGAAAATCCTTAGTAATTAGAATAATTCATACTTTTGCAAAGAGTAAATTTATAAAATGACTATATAATAGATATACATGTTAACACCGAAGTGGTGACTAACTACAGAATAAAAACGAATACATAAAACAACCTAAATCAGCACATAAAAAAGGCACAGCCGAACAACGTATTATATGTTAGCCGGAGAGATCGACGCACAATGTGACGTCACATATAAATTTCTATAAATTTCCAAAAAATAGGATAGAGTTCAAGATTAGGTTTGTAATACTGATATAACATGTATTAATAACAGTGAAAATTACAATACATATTGATATACAATTGTGGTAGTAATTAAATAATTAATTGTATTACTAGTATCAAGCTATGTCGGTATTTCTTCTAAATCAAACTGTAAACCAAATACATCGAATAAAATTAGATGACCCAAACTAAAATCTTATAAATGAACTGGGTGATTAATTATCTTTACCGTAACATACGAATAGAACAGAAAAAAATAATAAGATTTACAACTACAAACGATAAGACATTTGACAAAATCCGATGAGAATAACAAATATAACATCAAAACTAAATACATGGATTTTGGATAGAATCTATTCTTGAGGTAGAAAAGCCTTAGTATTTTAAAAATGTAAACGGTAGTAGTTTCTGATCTATTGGTGTGGCCTTTTTTTTAAAATCACCACTTTGTAACTCGGACCCAGAACCTACACACACAGTTAACTAAAGTTCGTACTTTTATTATCATATTCAGAAATAGATGTGAATATGTATGATTCCCGTCTGCTTTTGTTTTGCTATATTTTTAACATAAGGCCACTAGTGATTTGCGGCCTTTTGACAGGCAGTGCAAACAGAATTCTTAAAAATTATCAAATTTTTTTAATTTCCTTTTTTTTACCTGAAGGTAAAATTACTTTCATCTTTTTCTACACCTGGTTCATCCCTCGGCTTGGGAAAATATGTTTAATATATGCTCAGTGAAGTTTTTGTCCTATCACGGTGTTCAGATATACACAAAAACAACCAAGTTCCAGGAAAGTAAATACTACCGTTCCACATACAACGCTATTTCACAGACTAAATTCTAGACACATTTATTATTTTTCTCCTGCAATTCAGACTTTGCAGTTTAATGTTTATTTTTTTTATTTGTATTGTAATCGACATGGCTTTAACATTGAAACGTATTTCATTTCGAGTTTGGAGCCTTTGTGCAGCATACAGATGCATAGAAACATAGAATAATCAAAAGAAAGATATCAGTAAGACAAACTATGATCGGACACATGATATTATATGAACAATTATATTGAAAGGGTTTAAGCTTAAACGCGGACCGCGATGAGGACACCGAAATGAACGTACACAGTAATATTAACATTACCGTTCACTCAAAGGTGGCAGCAGGGGAACTTGAGAATTAGTTTGTACAAGTACAAAGAAAACAAATATGTATTTGTATACCTGTTATTTGTACAATAGTAAGTTGATTGCAGGATAAATTATATATCTTTGTCCGATATAGTTGTAATTTGTTTATGTTGCCCCGCCGATATGTTCTTCATTACACTACGGATATCATTTTGATTGAGATTAGTTTCAAAAGGGATGAAATTGTAAAATAAAAGATTGATTGAATGATTATTGATTGCTAAGCGTCCAGTGGCAAATATTTCAATGCATGTTCAGGGCGAGATATCATTAACTTTTAATGCAATGGATAGGTACTGTAATGATCGACAAGGATAAAAGAGGAAAATTTAGACAATCACCGGGAGATAGGGGAATTGGATAATAAAGATTGTTTTCCTTGCAACCCTCCTTCCCTTGAGTGTTAATTGTTTCAAGGGCTCTTTAGCGTGCAGAGAACGTGTCACTTTCTCTACATGAGACATCGAAATTAACGTACCAATCCGACTGGATGTGACTACGTATTTCTATATTCCGCAGCCGAAAGGACGCCCCGATTTAGCAAGGGTTTTACTGCCGGAACGGGACAAATCTAAGGGATGACCATATTACTATAACCCCAGTCAAATTCAATGATCAGTGTCGGTCAGCGGAATTATTTGTATATCCTATTTTGAGGATCAGGTTTTCTGTTTACAGTTTCGGTTCATTTACATTATTTTTTATGATAAAGCTTAAACGCTTAATTTTGTCAAAAATCGTCTTTTAACGCAGTGTAAATAAAGTCAATAGAATAATGGATAGTTTTTTTTTATCATTTTTGTAGATCTTGTATTGCTGGTCATTTTTGCGGTTTTTAGTTTCTTTCTAACTATTACATTGGGGGAAATCGTCATTTCAAGGACAATTACTCATATAGGAAATCAAAGAATGGTTAAGTTATTTTGCATTTTTTAAGATCTTTTATGAGGATCATTTTGCCGTTGACAGCTGCAGAATCTATTTATCTATTAAAGTTTTCACGATAATAGGAAAAACACGTTTTCATTGGACTGATAAACAAATCTTTATTTAAGGGCAATAAGTACTATAAGGACTAATTTGAGATGGTTTTAAGTATTTAAACATTTTGTACATGTAAGTTTACTAAACATATTTCGATGTACAGTTTCTTGTATCTATTATAATTTTCACGATAATAGGCAAAAATGCTGAAATATGACCAAAATTGCTATTTAAAGCCAATAACTCCTATAATTGAATTAGTTTTCTCAGTCATGTAACATTTTTGTGAATCGTTCCAGCCTTATCGGTCATTTTGGCTTAATTATGGAGTTGATGGACACAACTTCTAAAGCAGACTCTCTACGGATGGTGCAGGCTGAGTTTGATTTCAATTAGCCCAGTAGTTACGAAATATTTACCGATTGTCAATTCACGAGCACTGTTCATGTCTATGTTCCCAAAAAGATACAATCATTATGACCATTTAAGACAATGGGTAATGCTTTCTTTTTTCTGGTATTTATTATTCTTTCGGGTTTCTAAGGCTGTTTTCAAAATATTGAATAAAGAAAACTAATACCTACCTTCTACCTGTTTAATATCATTCAGTCTAATTGTACCTTTATGATTTATATCATGTAGTGGTCTAGAATGTAGGCCATGGGCGTTCAAGAGAAAATCGGTGGATTTTACATATGGCTTTTGTCTTATCAAACACGTCCAAGGCTAGATACGAAAATCATGACATTGTTCGTTTTAAAAAGACGTTGTTCTTATACAATATAATGGTTTCTCCCTAGAAGGCTAGTTCACAACTATCTATTTATCAAACGGCTACTTCAATAAATAAATTGAAGGTTTCTTAAACACAATTTAATCATTTTGTCAATCAATTTACTTCTATATAATGATCATCTATTAAGCAAAATTAAAATTTCGTTGAAATTTATGTGTATTCTTTACCTCTAAACCACAAATTACACAAAACCTTTACGTTTATAGATACAAAGATTGACTGTACCTGTAGAATTCTTATTAAATTGTTTTTTGTTTCTTTTTTTTTAAATTTAAATCAGACCGTTGATTTTTTCTTCTTTATCTTTTCGAATTTGTCATCACAGGACCTTTTGTAGCTAACTAATCGGTGGGTTTTGCTTATTTGTTGAAGGTTGTAGTAAATTACATTCGTGTCATTTGGTCTTTAGTGGATAGTTGTCTTATTTGCAGTAATACCAAATCTCCTTATGGACAACGTTAAGATTCCATGATTATGTCCTATTCTCAGGAACTATAAGCAATTGGTCAAATATATTTGGTCAGTAGAATGACAAAGATTTACATGTCCGTCTGGCAGGGTTCATCTGACCCTGAACATAAAATAATTATATGCAAATATAAGTGAAAAAAGACCAATACTGGGTCTGGACTTGCGTCGCTGCATATGATAAATTTAAATTTTAAACTATCGGCAAACAGGAAGAAGCTGCCCGACAGATCTTAAAATTGCTCACATGCTACAACTCAACATTTTCCAACAGCAAACCAAATATAAAATCATTCCCTTTCATAGTTTTCTCGATCAAAGTGGCATGATAATTATTTCTGAAATGGTTTAAATCAAGATAGCATTACTTTTATGATAGAAATCATAGTGAGGCCCCAGATGGTTAATTTATAGATTTACCGGTATGTGATTTAACCGGATTATTTGTACTGCATGCAATAAGTCATAAAATTATAAGCTTAAACTTTTTACTTTGATTTTATCATCGAATATTTATCTGAAAGAATGACAAACTAGATTTTTCGGAACGAACGAATGGACCCGCTCGCAAAAAATATTATTTTCACGAAATTTTCAAAGTCCAAAGCCCGTCATTTCAACAAAAATCAGCGGAGCGGAACCAAAAGTAAACTCAATCTGTAACTCATCATAGTAGGCTAACATACTAAGTTACAAAATAAAACTAAAATTGACCCACAGAAGAACGTTTAATCATCTTCTTTTCCTGGCTTTCTAGTACATTAAGCCAACTATTTGTGTCATACATGTGCATATGTATGTAATAAGTATCTTCCATAGATTTGATTTTCAAAAGTTAAAATGGTGATTTATGTATCCATGGCAACATTCTGAATTTATTTACCATAAAATATTGCAAAAAGGGGCATGGAAATGTCACATATTCCCAACAATTTGGTTAAAACTAGAATTTCAATCCCTTTGAGTGATACCTTTTCTGAAACTTTTGACATTAATCTACCAAGTGAGCAAATAAAAACTGGGTGTCTTTCACCTCATTTTTTCGTAAAATTTAATCTCAAGTTCGTGCGACAAAAAGTTGGAAAAAGATATTACAATAATTTCCATACCAATGTCTGATATGGAAATGAAAATACTGACTGTCATACAGAAAACAGCCCATAATATATACATAACACAACCTTGATGTTCCTATAAACCCAATTTGAAGGCTATATTAATCTTCAGCTATCCAAAAATGAATTTTATTGCACACTAGCTTTCATATTTGAAAAATCCAAAGGGGCCAAAATGCAAAACTACACACCTAACTGTGGAGTGCTACCTAAAATTCAGCTCAATATGTGAAGGCCTTTAGAAAAAAATCTGTTTAATTGTTCGTTGCGGAATGAGGGGCAAGGGTAAAACTAAATGGCCCAGACCACATTTCAGTGTGTACACTATTGGGGGTACGCTACATGCAAGTTTGTTCACAATCAACTTAGTGGTTTTTCTGAAGGTCAAATTGTTGATGGTTGGAAATGTTACATCTATTGTAGCAACATCATTTTTTATACTATTTCATAGTTATTGCTTAATGTCTTCTACCGAACAAATCTATGCAAACATGACCAGTGGATAAATAATGAAGCTTAAAAATCCAGAGAAAAAAAAGCTTTCAATAGGGCAATCTGGTGTTAAGTAGATTATTATACCAAACAAGATAATATTGTGATACTGGGAATGTTTCTTAATAAAATTGTAATGAATGAACAATAGTTAGTCATTTGCAAGTGGTCAGTGGTGGTGTTTGTTGTTAAGACTGGTTAGTTCCTTTTAGTGAATGAAAATTAGTTTGACTTTAATTTTTTAAGTGATCAAATGACATGTTTCTAACAAAAAGAATAGCTAATGATGAAAATATTTTTTATTTATTATTTTTCTGCCATAAAATCTTTAATCCTATTCAATGTGATAGTATAGCTAAAGCAAGAGAGTTAAAAACCAAAAGAAACTTTACTTTGGTTCTGTACTCACTTAGTTTAAACTTGTATTTCAGATACCTTTATATTAGATGATGCAGCGAGAGATTTAATCAAAGGTCATAGAAATGGATTGTCTTTGTTGTCTTTTGAATTTGTTAAAATTTGACTGCTAAGCTTGTATTTTGTTTTATTTATAGGTAGTACAGTTTCAGAGAATTGAGATGCTTAACTCTCAATGTCCTGTTATTATTTGAAGAATTAGGTGTTGATGGGTGATCTCGTCACAACCTTTTTTCAGACTAGGGGCGAATTAGAGCTTGTCCTATTATATAGACACATCTCTATTGTAGACGAGTGTCTGTCTTTTGGTTATTTGTGTCATTTGGTTGCTGTCTCATTGACAAATACCTCACATTTCCTTTACTTATACTTAAATGCACATTACTTCTTCAAATCACCAGAATCGAGAATACATTTTTTTGTTTGAAAGAGTAATTGACTGATGAATATTTGTAAGTCGGGAATATGGCAGTTATCAAATAGATCGTTTCTATGTATGTTGGCGTTTGTTTTTGTTGCACTTCAGTGTTCCTGTTGTTCCTTTGTTTTCCTCTTATAGTTGATGTGTTTCCCTCGGTTTTAGTTTGTAACCCAGATTTGTTTTCCCTCAATCGATTTATAACTTTTGAACATTGGAATACTACTGTTGCCGTTATTTAGCAATGCAACATTCATTCCTTTAAAATGTCTTTTTTTATATTAATTTATTTACAGTCAAATCTGTAAATAAAGTTCACCCTCGGGACCTGATAATTCTTATCATACAAGAAAGGTGACTTTGAATTGAGGTTCAAAATGGTATTGTTAAAGGGTGAAAAGAGGGTGACCTGCTAAGACAGGTTTTCGCTTTATAAAGGTGACCTTTGAATTGAGGCTCAAAATGCATAGATATTGTTAAAGGGGGAAAAGAAATAGGTGACCTGCAAAGACAGGTTTTTGCTTTATAAAGGTAACCTTTCTAGCTGGTTCAGCTGTATCAGTTCAATTTACAAAAAAATGGTATCCTGTAAAATGAATTTATTTCTTATTTACAAATTATTTGACATACTCTTTTTAAAATAAACTTATCACATTTTTATTCACAATTTGTGATGATTTGTTATATTATATACATGCAGTGTGCATGGACAACAAAACAATATAAATAAATAACAACAAAACTGTAATAATGACATTAACATGAAGCACTACAAGAAAATTGGTCAAATTACTTTTCATCTAGGCTGATATCAAATAAGTAATACATATAACATCAGACAAACCTAATAATTTCAACAAATATCCAAATTATCTCTACTTCCCTCCATTAATACTACAACTCAGCAGTTTGAGTGTTTGGTCTTGTAAAAGATCAGTGATTGTTAACAGTTTGAGTGTTTTGCTTTGTAAAAGATCAGTGATTGTTAACAGTTTGAGTGTTTTGCTTTGTAAAAGATCAGTGATTGTTAACAGTTTAAGTATTGAGTAAGTCAGAATTGATTATTACCACTGCATGTCTGTAGGGCAACAGAAAAGAGAATAAATGGTCATTCAATACTTTCCAAAGATGTTCTTTGTGAATGCCTTGTCTGTAATATTTTTTTTAATTTTAATATAAAAGGATATTTTTCATAAAGATTCATGTAATGAAAAAGATAATATTTTTTTTCTTTATGAAATATTCTTGCATAAAATCACTTTAGGATAAGCAATCATTCAATGTTCAATGACAAAAGAAGGATACCCAAGAAGCTTGTGCCTGGTGATAAGTCTAACAGATGTGTTACTATAATGAAGCAAACTCTTGGTCCACTCTTGGAATTCCCTAATATATCCTATTTACAAGGTTCATACCCTAATTCACAAGATTAGAACACAATTCAAACTCTACAACTACATTGCTTTTGACCTTTGAGCTCATTTCATAACTTGAAATTCATACTTTAAATTTTTTGAAAAGATGGGTACAGATATTTTGGATGTTAAGGAAAAAAGGCATTTGTGATACGTTTTACATGAGGTATTATAAACAAAATATGGTGGTCTCAAAGTTCACATTAGTAGATTTAAAAACATTTTAAAGCATTACATCATATAGTATATTAAACAGTTGAAAAAAAAAACTGTACTAACAAATAAAGATTCTAAAGCATTTTCAAATTGTAGCACTTAATAAATTAATAATATAAGAAATAAATGGTTGCGACAGTCATTCTTCAAAATACTGCATCATATACTTACATAAAAAGCCAGCATACGAGAGCAGCCACATGAGACACTGCTGTTGTGCTCTATTTTTTTAATCAGAAATACAAAAAAAGCACTTTTTTTTATTTTCAAGTGTTGACCTCGTATAACATTACCTACTATCTACATAATTTGATATCTGGACAAGTACTGTAAATTCAGAAATTATTGCGAGGTTTTTATTAATGCAAATAATGCGAATTAGCGTCTATCGCAATAATAAGAACACACAACCTGATATCAGATACAAATATATGTATGCAGCTTTTCCTGAAATCGCAATAATTAATCTCGCAATTTTGTTAATTTTCCACACATCGCAATAATAAATGCATGCAATAATTTCTGCATTTACAGTAATTATTGATATATAAACTTGAATGAAAATGTATGGAAAAGGTACTAGGGACTAGTCTCAGAATCGAACAAATGATGAGGAAATTCAAATAATTCTGTTAGTGCAAAGAATTTGCTTTGTGCAGAATGGCCATTTTTTACTTTATGTATTCAACTAACATTATTTTGTGACAGCAAGTGACAGAAATTGTACATATTGGCCTTCCACATATAATGATTATAACAATTTTATACGAAGCAAAATTATGCCATTCATGTTTATCCATGCCTTCTTAGTTCATATATTGTTGTAGATTATAAACAGCTCAGAAACTTTCAGACCAAACAAAAACAAAAATGCCTAATTATGATGTTAAGAATTTGTTTCAAGCTGCATTTAAACTCATTCACTTAGTTATTTCCTTTTAATTGTGAACATGTAACTGTTCTTGCATTGAACTACTATGTTTGATAACAAGATTTGTAAAAACTTTAATACTTGACTTTTATAAATAATGTCTCTCTCATATTTAGCGTATCTATCAATCCAATGTCCATTAGATTCTGTTTTGACAAATGTTAGAATGAAAATAAAACAATTATAGTACAAAAAAAACTTTTACTTGCATTCAAGAATGTTTCTAGCCAATTATGATCTTTAACTCATTATAAATTAATTGTGGGAATAAGAGCATCAACATTAAGTAAATGTAGATATACAGCATAGAATTTCACAAAATGTCAATCTCATTAAAATTGATTATACTATGGAAGGTAATCTCAAAACTGAAAGTTGGTGAATAATATTCCAATATTATGATATAACAGTATAATGACAGAAAGTAAACAACCTTGTTTGGGGTTGGGAATGGCGTACCATAGAAGAAGATTAACAGTATAATATTTTTCTCTAATTGATGCTTAAAAATATACGATATGATGAATGATGATAAACTTTTAGGCTTAATTGATGCTGGTCGTAGCAAAAAGGGGGCTTGTATTGTATGCTGCAATGAACCATATAATCAATTTCCATGCAAGCAGTTAATTCAAGTAAATTTAGAAAAAAACAATATTTACAGATAGCTGTTGAAATAAAAATTGCTGAGGTGAAAATAATAGAAATCTGAGTCGAAGTAACCTAAATCTATATATTTTATTTCACAAGGTGTTTTTGATTTCAAATATCAAGAAAATTGGTTATCTTATGAATGGTTTGTGCAAGAATAATATAAAATTGTCTCTGTACCATTGATTTGTGTTTTTCAAACAAATAATATGTAGTGAAGACAGAATATTGGCTATTTACTAACAACTGTGGATTAACCCCATTTTTTGGGTGCACATTTTCTCTATTTCAGAAAACAGTTTATTCAGAAATTTTGCATGCATTTATTTTTGTATTTGTTGATAGTAAAAAATACAAGATAAATTATTGTGATTTAAAGAAATGTAACATAAAATAATAAAAGCATTGCAAAATTTCTGATTTTACAGTACATTAATGTTATAAATATGTTTCCTTTCTGAATACTTTGTTTACAAAACTATTATCAAAGGCGACAGGTCTTTGAAATAAGAGAAAGATTTTATGAAGGAATTTTATTTTAGATGCAACAATTTGATGAATAAAAAATTTGAGTCCCGGCCCATCCTTGCATGATATTAAAAGTATGTTATCAAATTTTAATAACAATTGACATGTATTTATTTTCAAATCGTCATCTCCTGTTTAATTCAAACAAAGGAAATGTAGAAGTAAAAGTTGACAAATACTTCACATAACTTAAATCATATTGAAATCAAATGTTCAATTGAGAAACTTAAGCTACAGCCTTCATAGCCTTTTTGTAAAAAAAAATAACATTTAAATTAACTTCTGCAAATAAACATTCATGTTTATAATGTTTCATTTAAATTCTATGGAGAGTCAAATATAGAAAACTGTATTTATAATAGAAAAAAATAACAGCTTCCATCTTTAACTTATATAATACAATATTTTCATTTAAATACACATTTTAATCAAGAAATGCACATTGAAAAGAAAATAACCACTAATAGACATAATTCAAAAAAATTTGAAACAATTAAACAATAACAATTTCTTTCAATACACATCCAAAAACATATGTACCTTTTGTCCTGGAGTCCTAATGGAAGATGATTTAGTTTTTTGAAGAAACATGCTACATATACTTGAAAATTCAAGATTTCCTTTTAGTTTAGACCTAGTTTTTAGGTGGAAGATACTTAATCTGTGACGTCACTGTGGGTGACCTGTGTGCGACCTGTGTGCTTGAAGAGTCATCAATTAAGCAAGCAAAGCGAACTTTACTGGAATAGCCAAATGCTATGAATCAATTAACAGTAATAATAATGTCATGTTTTCTGAAAACTTTGTTTCCTTTCACAAAGCGTTAACTGATTAAAGTCAATTATAAACAAAATTCAAGAATTAGGAGATATACGAAGGCTACAGTAGAACGGACTTTATGTCTTGTAATATATTCGATACTAAATCAGAATCTGTTCCTTTACCATCAACTTTAATGTCATTTTTTACCTGAAATAGATAAGAGAAAAGTGTATCCTTATTGCTTAATAATTTTATGCTTTATAATATCATGTTTGTTTTTTTTATATCTGTTTTCATTATCTATTGCAACTTTTTTGTAGGGCCTAAGTGGGAAATGATTGATTGTAGGTTGCTTAACATTCAATTGCAAATATTTCATGCATGTACAGGATGAAAGTGCGAAGTGCAAAAAGGAGGTAAACAGTTGGCATAAGAGGCAAGGACTACAATAGTTTTCTAGTGATGCATAAAATAGGGCAAAGCAACCATTGATTCCAATAAATGGGGTATAAATCGTTAAATGTTCCAAGGAATGCATAAAATAGTTTATAAATGGCCATAAGTCCAAAGATTTCTGACAACAAGAGATCTTTTAAATGCTTTGTCACTTAGATTCAAATTTAAATGATGCATTGGAAATACTTGTAAGCATATATATAAATATATGAGCTGCGTCGCCTAGAAATCGATCTTATGCAAGTGCACTTATACTTGTACATGTCAGGGTTCTCACTAAGGATTTTTGAAGGCGAATCCAGGGACTCGTCACTTGTGGCCATGGCGAGTCCAACAGTAAGAAAAAGATAATTTATTGCAATATAATTTATTATTTTAGTCTCCATGACCTAATAAAGCAATGAAAGTACATTAAATTCAGATTACTTTTAAACTTTTGCTATGAAATGATAATATGTGTGTTCAGTTTATACAAAATATTTTAATCTTGATGCATCTTTGGACTCACCAGTTTTGAAAATGGTGAGTCCAGACAGATTTTCATGAGTCCAGGACTCATGAACTCGCCTTAGTGAGAACCCTGCATGTATAAGACTTTGATTGATTTTGAAACATTCAAATACAAAATAAAAGATGAGTTTTGGTCTTATTTTGTAGGGTTTTTAAAACAACTCAATTTTCAAACAGTTACAGACTTTCCATAGTGATTTTTTTAATCTGATTTGATTTTTGATTTTTGGTGTTTTAACGCCAATTTTAAGCACCGCTTTTGGGCTATTTCGTGGCGGCCAGTTTTTATTGGTGGAGGAAGCCGGATTGCCCGGAGAAAACCACCGACCTTCTATAGGAAAACTGACAATCCACACGAGCGGGGTTCAAACTCACAACCTCAGTGTTGACTGGCTAGTGATTGCAGTAGTAACTACTTAGACCACTCGGCCACCGAGGCCCCTTTTTTTTAATCTGAAATAGGTTAACAGATGTATTGATATTTACTTGCATAAGGTCGATTTCTATCCGACGCAGCTCATATATTATTTACTGGTCTAGTGAGTCCATATTATATGTATTGCTATAATAATTCTTTCTTTCATTTGACAAAAATATGTAAAGATAAAGATGGCGTCAATAAATTAGTTATAGCATTATGTCTGTCAATAACTTGTGTTGTTGGGATGGCTGTCTCATTGGTGTTTATCCAAAAATTCCTGTTATTCAGTTTCATGTTTGCTGAATTTAATTTAAAATATTAATATTTCATTTAACCTTAATGTTTCGAACTAAGTCTATACAAAGCAAGTAAACAATACCAAGTTCAAGGAAATGTATTAATTGTCTTACCATTTTAACTAATAAACAAACAGGATGATCACGTATTGATTTACTGTACAATGAAGCACTGTCTGACACTTGTTCCACAACTGTAAAAATAAATAGTGCTAGAATATTGTGGTCACTATTTTACAAAATCTATGATATTTTGAATGGGCACTTCATAAAGTAGTGTAAATTGTTCTTTCATAAGATGAAGTAATATTATGCTTAGTTCTAAGTTCAATGTAACAACATCAAACTTTTCTTCAGATTTCTTAAATTGATGCATCACTTAATCTTCATACATATAAAGGATTATCCAATTTATATGTTTTACAAGTCTACATTTTACATAATATTGCTTTTCTGTAAGATATTGTACAACAACCACTTAAATTTGGTTATTTTATAACCACTAAAAGGCAATGGAATAAACCTTTCTTATCATGTTTTGCCTTGCCATATTCCTTCATATTTATTAAAGCTTTGTAGAAAGTATGTGTTCAATAATTTGCATACAATATATTCTTACCTCTAAAATGAAGATGAAAACATATTTTGGCTAGAATTAAAGGAAACTCTTGATCGGATGGGGTAAAACTTATTGATGATTTTTCGTTCAAGTCACCACTTCCCAATAATGATGCAAACTCGGAACTGTAATAAAAGAAAATATAGTTCTTCATTCATGTTTTTCTTTCTACTTTATTTTTACTTTTGCGAAATATATGTATTGAAAAAATGTAACTTCAAATTATATCCTGAAGAAAAGGCTGCTTCATGTATTATTAAGCTTTCCTTTAACAATGAATGCAAGGTCATTTAGGACAACCTGACCTAGCATTCATCACTGCTTATTCAATGTTTCAGAATCTAATGCATTCTTGTTAACATTTTCGAAAGTATACACCAAAACATTGTCATTGATTTATGTCCAAAAGAATGGATATTTAATCAATGAAATGACATTATTTCATTTGGGGTACAACCAATGGAATGACTTTATTTTTATTTTGAAGAACAACAAATGAAACTAGATATCATTGAGATGGGAGCCATCTCTGTGGGCCCCGCTGTGAATAATGTGTGGTAAAAAATTTGTATCTTCATTGGACATGGGGTTGTCAAATGAAACCAGTTTTTGACCTTGACCTTTGACCTAGGAAGTTGTACATAAATTATGACACACCCTCTGTTGTTGGTTTATATACATATCAAGTATAAACTTTGAACTCATAACGGTTCTCAAGATATAGAGCGGACACGATCTTTACCATAGGACATGGGGTTGTCAACTAAAACCAAAGTTTTTGACCTTGACCTTTGACCTAGGAAGTTGTACATACATTATGACACACCCTCTGGTGTTGGTCAATATACATATCAAGTATAAACTTTGAAATCATAACGGTTCTCAAGATATAGAGCAGACACGATCTTTACCATAGGACATGGGGTTGTCAACTAAACCCAAAGTTTTGTCATGATCTTTGACCTAGGAAGTTGAACATACATTATGACACACCCTCTGGTGTTGGTTAATGTACATGTCAAGTATAAACTTTGAAATCATAATGGTTCTCTAGATATAGAGCGGACACGATTTGTTACGGACAGATGGACGGACAGACTGATCACTATAGGGCAGCCACCATTCGGCGGGGCCCTAATTACCCATAGTCCTTCAGATTCTAAAATGCTCATTTTTGAGTCAATATATGTCATATTTGAAGAATGAAAGAGAGCACTGTTAATTTAATTTTTCTACTCATGGTATAAATTTAATTGCATACCTTTTGCATGGAGCACTCATAAGAAAATCACTGCATCTAAAGTTAATTTTAAAATCTAATTTTTCATGTGTGGATCCATCATCAGTCTGAAAGAAAACAATATATACGGTGAATGATATGAAAATTGTAGTCTCTTATTTGTTACAATATACCATAATTAATCTAAATATAACTGATCAAATCCAATTTCAATAATACCAAATGCATCTCTTAAGGCAACACAAACACCATAAAATCCACTTACTTTATAAAATATCTTTACAACAGTTCATACTATTTAACCATAAATGTTTGGCGAAATTATAATAAACAAGATGAAATTTCCTAATAATAACTTAATTTACATTTTATCCACCTTAAAGTTCACTTTGAGAATACCCATATAGGCATGAAACAGTATTATTTCCTTTTGTTTATGTATTAAACCTCTTTGAATATTTATGTTCAATAGAATATTCTAAATAAGACAAACATCTTGGGAGTACATATAACAACTGAATGACTCACCTTTTCCATGTAAGTTAATGTGCCTTTGAGTTTTTGAGGTATATTAATACTATCAACAGAGAAGGCAAACTGACCCTCATTCTGGGAATTAGGCAGTAAAACAAACGGGACCTTTACAGGATCTCGATGAGAACATCCAATCTAAAAACAAAACAGAAAATTAATCTTCTAAGGTATTCTTACCATACTATAAAATATTTTCTCCCAATTCTTTTTGCATTTATTATACTTTTCTATTGGTTAAAAGGCTATATATTTTAAATGACATATCCAGTTGATAACTTTTATATGAACTCCTGAGAAGAGCCTACTTAAAAAGCTCTGAGCATGCCCATAGCTTCCTCATAAAAATACATCTATGTTCCCTAAAATGGTTCTCACGAGAATGATATATTTTTTCCAAATTCAACATTGCTAAATTGTTGTTTGTGATTTCCTACAAAATCTATTTGGAATCATTAAGGAGTTTGTCATTAGAGAAACACATTCTACACTTAACCCCTGTTAATTTCCAATGGTTAAATTATAAAATTTTAAAATGCTTGCCAAGCCTCACATTTAAATATTTTGGAATATTAAACTATCTTGAGTAAATGAATGTTATAAATCAACAAGGGGGTATGGTAGAATCTATTTATAAAAGCACAGAAAACCAAGAATGTTGGAAATTACTACAATGACAAGTTTGGTGCATACCTAGATTTTTGGTCAGCAACACATTTATATATGCTGATTGCCGATAAAACCCAAGAGTTGTATTTGTATATTTTGTAATTACTTCCTAGATTTTTAAGTAATCATTATACTATAAATACATTAAAGACATTTTTTTCACTCAACTCCTTTTCCTTATTCTTGATATGTTTCTTTGTAAGGCAGTTATGACCTTCAATTGTGCAAAATCTAATGATTTTTTTCTATAAAATTAGATGAGCATTAAAAAGGTTCTGCATAAGTTCACATTTACTAATTAGAAAAATAACAATAATGAACACAACATTATACTATTCTAAGATAATCTGAGAAAGGTACAAACATGATAGCTTTTTCAAGCACAAAATACATCACCATTTGTCTACTTTTAGAAGACATTACAAACAATATCCGTAAAATTTGGATGTAAACAACTAATTTTTTGGACCAACATCTCTGGTCAAATGACTCAGAATTAAAAAGAGCTATAGGTTGCACTTCTGTAAATATAGACAATGCAATTTCAAATAGGAACTCCTTTTATGAATAAAACTGTGCCACTTTTACTATGAAGTTTCATAAAAAATTATATCCTAGAATGGAAAGCTCATATGCAATTGTTTTTGCAAAGGTCAAAGCATAAGGTTGTGCAGCATATTTTCAACATTTATATGCCTCGAAATTCTAAGAGTTTAAATTAATTCTAAAATTCTGAACTAGCCCTCCCTTAATTTTGAGTCTTCCTGAGAATTCAATTTGACCGCTATCAAACTGTATTTATACTGGTAAAATTTCCATGTTGTGTCTCTATGAGATTAAACTGGGAGATCATATCCGGGAGGTAAACAAAACAAAATATCTACGAATATTATACATCTCCCCAGATTTGTGAATCAGTGGAATTTACAAATGTGCAACCTGTAAGGTGTATATTATACTATAAAGTTACATTAAGATCTTCTATTAATAGTAAAATCCATGACACAAAAAAACGAAACCACCCTATAAATTCTGCATAAAAACATATGAATACTTACCCCTCTTATTAATTTAGCGTTAAGACTATCTAATACATTTAATTCCAAATCTTTAATCTGATTGGACGTCAGATTTGTGAACACAACAGAGACTACCACTTGGTCATGACGCTGATGACTCCCTCGGATTTCATATGTCTGAAAATAGGTTATCATGTTTAATGCCATTTCAAAAATAATAATCTCAAATGTAAACGAACCTTAAATTACATATGCAAAAAATATTACTGACTGTTGAAAGTATTTCTTTAAACATGTAATTTATTAAGGACAATGATGTAATAATATTGTTTATACGATTCTTTATAAGGCTGTCAACACATGTACCTTTAACAATCCTTCTGGCCAGCTTAAATATGTTGTGCACCAATTCAAGTATGCCTTGAGTGATTTGATTCAAACTTTTCCAAGTTGTTAAGAATGGTAGATGATTTGTAAACTTTTTGACGATTTAAAATTTTGGGTCTAACAAAGGCTGGTCTTTTTCATTATAATAGCATGGGCATATTTCCTTCTTCATCTGGTACATTTGGTTTTCCTCTATATATTAAAACATATTCACATTAAAGATAAAAAATTCTTTAATCCATCGTCCTGAACATGAATAAAACATTTGCCACTGGACGTTAAGCAACCAACAATAGATCAATTAATCTCTTATTCCGATCAAAGTTTTAATGAATTGGAGCTCATCTTCCTCTGTATCACAAAGAAGGGACACATTTTTTTTCTTAAATGGCTGTTGTACGAACAATTTTATACAACAAGAAAAGAACTGTTTGACCAAGAAATAGATTACTTACAAGTTTTAACGACTTGTTTTCTCCAAGTGTCTGATATGTTGACATTGGCTACAATTAGAAATACATGCAATATATTAAAAGCAAATTTTTTTAGAATATTTCTGGTTTCTGATAAAATATTCCTTTTTGTAATTTTTAAATGTAATATATATAAATTGAGACTAAGTATATAAATCAGGCAATTGGTTTTCTTGTCTGAATTTTTTACATTTTGTCATGTCTGGGCCTTTTATAACTTTCTATACGGTATGGATTTTGCTCATTGTTAAACCCAAGTGACCTATAGTTGCTTATATCTACCATCAGACAGTCTTACCAAATCTTCTTATTTTTATAAAGAGAAACTAGAACGCACCCTCGAAATCACGGGCATTTAGAGCGTGGTTGAAAGTATGTAAACTGTTGTAGGATGAATTTTTGTAAAAGATTTTATGACTGGAGAATTTCAGGAAAGGTATCAAAAGTTTCTTAAACATGAACTGATGTCAATATAACATTTTGAATTTTTCACCAGTTCAAAATATTGGATGTAAATCTAAAGAATGTCAACGAAAAGGTCAACTATTTGTAGTAACATGAACGCACAATTTTTAGGACTGTTTAAAATTACACAGAATTTTGGTAAATTTACAAACAACCCTTAATTCCTAACTTGATTACATACAATGTTTTGGGTATCTGAGCTACAGGAACCGGTATCAAAACATTCCTTCGGACCCTGGAAGCAAGAAAAATCCGATTTCTTGGGACCCCTGAAACCGGTATATAATCATGTTTTATTTAAGAAATAATTCATGCAAGCCATAGATTTGTTGAAAATTTTCACATGGCCAGAGTTGTTATATTGGAATTTTGCATAAGCAAGGGATAAAATAAACGAATATACCGACCCATGCCATGTGAAAATGAAAACAAATCTTAGAATGCATGAATTATTTTGATGTTTGTAAATTTACCAAAATTCTGTGTAATTTTAAAGTCCTAAACGGAAAGTCTTGTCTATGACTTAATAGTCCGTCCGATGGCGGAAACAATATCTGGACGCCTTTATTTTTGTTTTCCTCCCAAAATAACCCAAATGGAATAATCATAAGTGAGGATGACAAATGCGACTATGCATGGTACCTATTGGACACAGAGGCATGATGATTAATTTATTGTGGAAGGAAGAGAAGCGACACACAAAGTGAGTCTTCTCATTTCATAGCATAGATGCTCGATTACAGAATGGACAGGTGACTATTGTATTAGCTATATAATATCCTGCTCGTAATATAGGCTAGCTAATTTGAATCCATATACTGTTCGTCCACTTCATGCACAGTTTATTATATCTAGTACAATAATTACTGTACACAATTGTCTTGTGAAATTAAACATCCTTTGACCAATTTGTCCTTCTTCATGAAATTAACCTAAAAACTCAAGTCTAAATTCTTCAATAAAAAAACTTACAGGAAATTGCACATTGATAGGAGTATCCATTTGTGATGGAGAAACTTGTTCTTTTGATGGAGTAGTTATACCCTCGGCTACTTCATAATCAGCCCTCAACAATTTCTTCTTATCTCGTTTTTCTTTTTTTCCCTTTTTAACATTCTTTTCTTTCTTCTTTTTTGGCTTCTACAACATTTTATCAATACATCACAAAATAGACTTTACCAAAGTGTGAATTTTTTGGTTTTTTTAAAGTTAAAACAATCTTGCATACATTAGAATTATCATACTGTTGAACAATAAAATTCAAGCTTCCATACATTAGAATGAGTATACTGTGAAAATTTTATGTTATTTACTATAAATTATGTTGTTCCTACAAGAACTTACTTTAGTTTCCTGTTCGTCATCACTAGCGACAGTAATGACAGGCGTAGGTCTAACATCATTCTCCATTGTTTTCTCTGATTTGGAAGAACTTGGAGTATCATTTTTAGACAACCAGAAATCAAGATCATCAGTCTGGAAAAAGAATTATCTTCGTTAAACACAACTAAACAGAAGTCTTCTATATTAAACCAGGGCCTAATCGAGGATTTTGAAGAGGGAGAAGTGACTTCTCCTTCCAAGAGAGAGAAGGGAGAAGTGGTCAATTTTTTGGAGAAGTGAGATTCCATTACCGTTTCGGTTGCATAGTGTTTTCGTGCTTATCACTAAGGAAATTGTTTTATATTCAATAAAAGATATACTTGCAGTTTTTTTCATATGTTATTGTACACAATGTATATATAGAAAGTTCTTAATAAAAAGGTTTTGACAATATATAGTTGTTATTTATTTATTGATACCATTGTGTTCTAAATAAAATTTGTTGATTGGGACACGAAGGAGTAGCCTAGTAATATTGATTATGATGCATTAAATTCATGTGCATCTGCCTCAATATATTGATTTTTTTAAAGTCCAGAAAAAATATAACTCCCAGTTTACCTGATGAATTTCACATGACTAGGAATTTAATTTATATCACCACTTGTCATTATTTTGTAAAACAATAATGTCCAGGACATTATGTTAGTTGTAAATTGAGATTATCGTTAAATTTTGTAAGTCTATAAATGAAAATATCTTTCAATTGCATATTAATTATCCGACAAAGAGCTAATTTCTATCAGTTTTTTAAAATATCATCCATATCAACGAAATGGTCGTGAGAAAAAAATCCATCGCTGATCACAACCTGGTCGAGTGTAGTACGTTTGCAATCACATTATCCATCAGCAGTCTTTCTACCTTTTATATTTCAATTTTTATTCAATCAATATAACAAATCTACCGTTAATTCCCACCTTTTACCGACCGAATAGTAAAATTGATCGACTCGTGTAAGTTATAAAATAAAACAAATCAGCTGAGTGATTACGCAACATCCTGAGATGAAAATCATCGTTAAAATGATAACTTAAACAGACGGTCAGTTTTCCGTTTGAATAGTTTTGAAAGTTCTATCCGATGATGTTCAAAGTCGCCGTTGTATTCATTTAATTTGATCGTTGACAGTATTAGTCCTGGGTCGTTTGAAAATCTCGATTTTCCTTGTCAGTCGCCATTTTTTTTTACCTGTGAGAATTGTCAATCACAAGTTGTCTCCCTTTTACCGATTTTGATAGCAATTTGACTTCGCTATGAAGTCAGTCGGCCGGCGAGATTTAGCGATTTTCAAAATTCTTTGGCGACTTAAATCGTCATTTCGCCGGCAAGATTATGGCCTGCTAAACTATGTTTTATTTAATTCTACATCAAATTTTGTACCGAAATATTTCTGCTTCAATTCTACCACAGTATAATCATGTTTCAATTATACAACAGTATAATCAATTTCTGCAAATTCAGAAATTTTTGCGATATTTTTGTTATTTTGAAATTGTAATAGGGTATGTTTCACCAAACTAAAATTTAACATTTCTAAATTTTTTACAGCAATATTTGCATGCAACATCTCCTTATATCGCAATAATTAATCCAATTATTTAATAATGGTAATAATAAGTGTATACAAAAACTTCTCAATTTACAGTACCCTATCATTCTTATTTTTACCGCTATCCTCGTCCCTTCATACTCTTACTTTTAATGTGAAGGTTTTCTTTAGACTGTTTTGGCTGTCATGTTTAAGACTGTTTTGGCTGTCATGTTTAAGACTGTTTTGGCTGTCATGTTTAAGACTGTTTTGGCTGTCATGTTTTAGACTGTTTTGGCTGTCATGTTTAAGACTGTTTGCTTTTTATGCTCTCAATAAGTTTGTTTACCTTTTCTTCCTTACATTTTGCAATGATCATACATGATTTTCTCTATTCATAGCATTTTTTCGAGATAATAGACATATTTGATATAATGTTATAAAGGGACATAACTAGAGAACTGTAAAAGTGACGCCACCCAAATTTGAACTAAATCTTGCGTTTTATAGTTATAAGCAATGTGTATGAGTTTCATAACATTTGGTTGAGGAAAACTAAAGCTAGAGAACAGAAACAAAAAATTCAGCAACATAAGTGGAGCACATAAAAATTGGCAGTTGTGAGCATGCCAAATGTTTTTTTTCTATTATCTATCCATTTGAGGAAAGATCTCTCCAGCTACAATCTTGATTTTACCTTATCAGATTTTTCTTTCTGAGGTTCTGGTGATTCTGCAGTTGCCTGGTTACTAGGGCCATTTGCTACAACCTCCATTTCTGGAGTGTTCTCATTTTCTTCGGCAATAAGAAGACTTGATTCTTCTTTCTTTTTCTTCTCTTTCTTCTTTGATGACTGTAAAATTAAAAGCAATATACTGCAATTCTTCCCAAAATGTCTAAAATAAGGTATAACATTAATGGAGTTAAGCACAGTGAACAAAAACAATGTCAAAATGACAGCAAACTAGGTTTTCCTTACATTTGTTAGTGTCATTGAAAGGCAATCAAGGGCCATAATTCCTAAACAGCATAAGCGGAATTGTCACATTTGACCTCTGTTACAACTTAACAGTGAAATCTGTCAAAACCAAAACATGTGGAACTGCAAAGCTGTCAATATTTAACTCTTGTATGCAGACATATCATTATATTCTTTAGTAATATAACTTATGAAGACAGTACACATGTTAGATTGGAACATAATCTACCATCCTAGGTGATCAATTTGGACAGTATCACTGTATTTACCTTTTATTTAGATCAGTATTGATGGATAGATGTTGAACTAGTAGCAGGTAATCTTTCAAGAATATTCAGGATCAAGAAAAATGCAAATGTGATTGACTATAAACACTGATTTGCAATAGATCTATATACCCAGCATTTTAATCATGCTAGCCCCACTACAGTATCATGCCACAGAAAGAGATGTCATCCCAAACTGACTTTTTTCTGACTCCAAGCCAGACAGACTTTGTTCATTCTCTTAATTCCATTTGCCAAGTGTAGCTACAAATACCTATTGTAGTCTTTGATTTATCTTGCTAAGGATATATGTCATGACCTCCTGTATCAGAGCTGAAACCCTACCACAGAGCCACTTGATGATGAGTATTTAATACTCTTTATTCTTTTAATTATATATAAGTTCCAATTTTTGTTGAGTAAGGAAACAATTCTGAAGAAAGCTGAAAATACTTTCCACTTGTTGCTGTTAACAAAGGCGCCTATAGGTCAATGCTTCAGTTAGCTTCTCCCCTCATTTAATACAAGACAGTAAGCATTACATACAAATTAAGAAAGCCATGGTATTGTACCTATTGAATATACAAGACTTACTGTGGATTTATTATTATTCCTGGGATACCAATTTCCATGGATTTTGTAGGTAGATGTAAACCACTAATTTAAAGGTAAAAAATTGCTATAGGCCTTAATGAAGACTTCAGAAAAACCATGAAATCAAATATCCATGAAAATCAAGTATCCATGAAAATTGAATTATTCCTCAATCTATAATAATTGGTATTCACAAAATAAAGGAATCCATAGGGTAGGGAAAGAATGACTGATTAAAATATCTACACCAGATATCAGAATATGTAAGTTTCTGTGTTATTCATGCTTACCTTTTCTTTGCCTTCTTTTCTATGTTTTCTTCTTTCCTCTCTATCCTTCCTGTGTTTTTTCTTTGGTTTCTCTTCATCCAAGTGATCACCCTGGTTATCGAGTACCACCCTATGTGTTGGTACTGGTATTATCTCATCATCTCTTAATGGCCTTTCAAATAAAATAATGTGTTGTATAACAATTCATATTTTGTTTATTATTTTATATATATATACATGGATATGACTAAGTAATACCTTCATATATCCATATCAGTTTTTTTTTCAGAATCTACACATCCTTTATTTGAAGAGTATAACACTAAGGTATGGTTTTTGTCTGAAAGTTTTATATCTGGATTTTTGTTGACACTGATCTCCAAGCCATCAAAGTGGAATACTAATTTCAGGATTTTTCCATTATTGAGTCTGATTTTTGTCATCCATTTATCTATCACAATGTACACCTTTCTTATTTTAGAATTTCTTCCATATTAAATATGAATGTTGAATCATCCATAATACACAAGCTCATTAAAATATATGACCTGAAAAAGTTCATACCCAGAGGGTATAATAAAAGTGTAAAATATCATCAAACAGGAATAGACTCCCTGACAAAAATAGCAGTACAATTCAACAACATTAACTTCCAGACCTGATATCAAATCACTCCTTTATAAAGAAGTTGAGTAATATTTTTACGAAAGGTTATATGCTCAATGGCTTTAACAAAAATACAAAGCATTGTTAAATAGAAAGTGACTGCATGGCAGATCATAATATTGTTTACACAGTACCATTCAATATTATAAAAATCCAGACAAAATATTGAATCATTCCATAATACACTAGCTGATTAATATGTAAATAAAGTTATGGACCAAAAACAATTTTATCATAGACAGACAGACAGACAGACCTTTTCACAAGAAAAATCCAGTCTACCACCCATGAGTGGGTATTACCTATTATTGATTACACACAAAGTGGCTGGTTACAAGATAAAAATACTTACATGTCCAAATCCATGTCTAACTTTTTAAATTGATCATTTGGTCTGTCATCATCTTTGTCAGAATCTACTGTGCCCTGCAAAATTCAGATGAAATAATAAGTTAAAATCCTTATTCTATTGTAACATTTTGATTTATTATTTTTGCACACATGTATTGTTTAAACTTAAAAGAATTGAAACTTGGAGGTGTTCTGATTGACATTTAAGTCTGGGAAAAAATGGTTTATTTATTAGTGGAAATTTGGCTTTGAACTAGCTTTCAGTAATTAAAAGTACTCTTAGATCAGTGCTTAGGGAATGTTGTCTTTTAGTTAGTTGTATTTGAGCTTAGTATTGGTCTAATGAGTCAATCACTTTCTTATTTCATAGTTTGTTCTTATGTTGTGCTGCTACACCACTGCTCCAGATTAGGGGAGGGTTGGGCATTCACAAATATGTTTTACCCTGCTACATTCTTTATGTGTTGGTCCTAAGCCAGAAACCTGTTCTCCAGTGGCTGTCCTTGGTTTGCTCTCTGCCTTATTTGTTTGTGTACATTGCTGTAGTATAAGTCAGGTCTTTAGTTTTTCTCTTATGAATTGTTTTAAATTTTGTCAAAAATCCAGGCTAACTTTAAATCCTGTTCTAAAAAATGAATCAATGAGGTATTTCAAGAAGAAAATCATACCTCTGGCATATCAACGACAGTACTGACTTCATGAGCAGGTTGTATGTCTTCATCAGAATCATCTTGTACATGCTTCTTCTTCTTACGTCTTGACTTTTTATCTTTTTTTGAGGGTTTAGACGAGCTGTTGAGTTGTAGATATTTATCTGATGATGAAAGACCTAAAGTATATATATGAATATTGCTACAATTCTTTTTTTTTTTTTGATAAAGCTATTATTTGTAAATAATAAAAAATAATTATCTTTCAATCTTATATTGGTTCATTCAACAGGTAAAATATTGTCTTCAAACTGGTTCAGCACTAGCTTGATTTGTGAAAAGAAAATCAGAACTGTCAATAATATAAAAGACCTAGATTAAACATTTATATGATATCAGAATATTGTAATGAGATGAGACACTCATATCTAGGAGCAGGGACAGAAATACTTACAGCCACTTCCATTATATAACAATTTCAACTGTCTAGAGTGTACTTAACCCAGTTCACAATTTTAATTCATTGGACTGCATTTAGTTTTCAATCAAATGCCTTCTTTGAAAACTTTTATTAATGTAAGGAATGAAGAGTTTCTGATAAACTATTGACAAGAGGTCTGTTTTTTATAATACTTTTTGACAGCTAAGGATAAAAACTTAGCTAGTATAATCAGATGTCCAGAATCATGTTCATGAAATTGCATGTCTAGTCAGAACATAATGTTTCCAGGATGCATGTGCATATTTTTATGAGGACCCTTATGATGTAAATGTAGGCTTTACCTGGTACATGTAATGGCACAGATAAATCTATCTGTGATAATGGAATGTCTTCTGAATTACCACTATCCGACCTCTGAAAACAAATGTTAAAGGTTTTAAATTTTTATCATAGTGTCAAGGTAAATATAATGAATTATAAACAGCTAATAATCCACAAAACTTAAATACTATCAAAATACAAAATCTACATAAATTTAAAGTGATATATCCAAGTGTTATAAGAGCTATTCCTGCTATATTCTGCTAAGAACCTATGAATAATTATTAAATCCAACTAGAGAGGTGATCTAGTGCCTGCAGCACACGAGAGATCATATTACTGGAAATGACAGATTTTAATATCCAGAAACCACAAAATTTTGAATGTTTCCAACAATTTAGAACAATTACTCTGTAACAGTAAAAGTGAAACGACCAAAATTGAACGTAACCTGTCTTAAGGGGTCCAAAACATTAAAAGTTTAAACTAATTTTCAAAAGGAGGGAGTTCTCTATATTTTTCATCTGGAAACCATGCATGAGGGACAGACAAATGGAAATGAGGATTCCTATATACCCCTACTCTGTCCACCAGTTGTTTTCATGAAAATTTCATTTGTTCACATTAGAATGTATATTTGGTAATAAAAAAAAAAAAATATATTGTTATATTAAACAATTATGTTACATTGTCACCTCCACCATCTGACCCACTGATTTCAAAGTCACCTGATATCAACCAAATGACCAATGGATTTATGCTAAGATTTGTGACAAAAATCAAATTTGAGTAAAAAAATAAGTATTTATCTATATACTTGATGTCAATACTTTGAAGGTAAATTATACATCAATATAGTTTTTCCTACCTTTGGTTTACTGTCTACTTTTAAGTAATGTGGATTATGCATCTGTTCAACTTTTCTTTGTTCCCGTCGCTAAAATGAAACAAACAAAAAATACAATAAATTTACAGGTGATCTTTTACAGATATCCAAATATGACAAGAATGCAAGCATTGTCCTACTAAGCATATCCCGAAAACAGAACTCAAAGTATCGGAAAACAGGAAGTGTCTGACACATTCAAAAAGGGAAAACAAAATGTTGAACTGCTGACTAAATATGAAAATCAATGTGGTCTATAAGTTGTTAGAAAAATGTGACAATAAATTTAAAGTTTATTCAACATGTGGAAAAAAATTAAAAGTATCTGCAAACAGAAAGTAGGTATCTAACAGGTCTGAAAAGCTTACACAGGTTACAATTCATCGCTGTCAAGCTACTGACCAAATAAGGGGGCCAGTATTTCAGTAGTTTCTTAGAAAAGTGTGACGAAAATATTTTTTGGACGACTGGATAAACAGACAAGGTGTTTGCAATAAAGTCACCATTTCTAGAGTGGGGTATAATTTTATGAAAACAAAGTTCTAAATTTATTCAATCACCAGATTTATCACTTAGGGCTGTACCAATTGAATTCACCCAGGAAGGGTGGGGCTCCTGAAATTAAATTAGCTTTAAGTGTACTAAAACTAATGTTTTCTATTCATCCATCCATTCGTCAACAGATGTTACTCCAATAGAGAAACAAACACATTCTAGTACTGAAAAAGTATTATGAAAAATACAAATAAAAATATATATATATAGTTAATGGGTGGGTGGAAATTTTAACTATTTTCAAAATATCAATTTTCTTTTTTTTTGGGGGGTGGGGGATGGGCTGATCTATGAAACCCATGACGACAGACAATAACAGATGCCAAATGATGGCAGCTAATAAAAAGAACAAATTAACAATACCTACCACTTCTAATTCTTCGTCTGTTGGTTCTACATATGCCTTCTTATCATTATGATAACTGTATTCACTTCTGAAAGAAAGGCAAATTATTATTTTTTAAGATATTCTGATTTACACTAGTCTTTGAACCTAAACAGCCATCCTTTCTGAACCAACAAACAGACTAAAAATAAATTCTTGCACATCAGTATTTTTTTGTAAATTCAGAACTGTTTTGAAACAGCATTGATTGCTGTTAATTTGTTCAGTATATTTGCAGAGTGCTGAGATGCTGTTATTTACTAGTGCTTACCAATTAATAATAAACTGCATGAAAAGTAATTGCAAAGTTCTGGACTGACTGCATGCCAAATGAGGTAAAACTAATGAATTTAACATAAATAGTATCTGTAAAGTAGTTTAAAATATCAGAAGACTTCTCACTTTTATAATTAAGTATTTCAGACTTTGTAAAGATTAAAATGGATGATCTAGACTAAAATTTAAGTTCTAATTGCCTGGATAGGCTTAAATTATACTTTTGTATTTAAAAGATGTAATATATATCCCCCTATTTTGCATTTACTACTTTGCCTGGTTTAATCAGGTACCAAACAGTTTATTATGTTTTATTATGTTTTACCTGTGGTCCTCATGGTTGAAGGTAAATATTGATGCTCTAACTGGTTCCTCATCTGAACTTTCTGCGGGAGGACGGTTGATCCATTTATCTAAATCTAACCTAAATAAGAACATTTAATCATGATTTTGACAAATTCAATTTTAAATGTGGAAGTAGTAACAAAATCCGGTTATTGCATGAGCATGTTGACAGTTTGTATAGTTTTAAGTACATCAAAAATATTGAACGAGGTTCCTTTCAAATTGTATATCAATAATGTTTTCCAAAAGAAAAAAATATATAAAGTTTTCATAGTGTACAAGCTTTCCCTATTTCTTGGTATCTGAATGGTAGCTGTTAACAATACAGAATATCTGTTATTGGTTAATCTGCCTAATCTACCAGTAATTTTATTTCAATGTCATATTATCTAAAGCTGCTATAACTATTAGTATTAAGGAAAACAACTAGTAGCCATTGGGCTGTTGGCAATCCTCTCTTAAATAAATAAAACATTAAACTAACATTTGCTTTAGTTATATACATTCTAAATGTTGTTTTTTTTCAAATTACCAAAACATTATTTTTGACGTTCATTGAACCTACCCTTCTGGTACTGGCACTTTCTTTTGTGCCCTTTCTGCTACTGGATTTAATGCTCCAGAAAATAAGGCAACAACTTCTTCTCCTACTTTGGTCTCTTTGTCCATTAATTTGACTACATATTTTACTAACTGTAGTATACAACAAGCCTAAAAATATATATAACTTAAAACATTAATTTCACATCCAATAAAGGGTCCTTTAGATTACTTGTCAGTTTTCTTATGCTAATATAAATAGTTTTAGATACCTTACTTCTCATAAAACCATACAAGAACAAAGGTAACAGAAGAGTTAAAATAAAAATAAAAATACATAAAAAATAAACGAAAAATTAATGGATTAAAATGTTGATGGTTATCAATATTAATACTAGGTGAGTTAAGATTTTTTCCCTACAGCTTTCTGTTTTTACATTTTCTAATCTAAATCTTCATAAAAATAACAAGATAGTAAGAATGCAGATGAGACAACTATCTATCAAAGATAAAAGAATGTAAACTATGTGCCTTACCCTTTCTTGAACCTCTAAATCTGAACTTTGTACATGAGCCTTACCCTTTCTTGAACCTCTAAATCTGAACTTTGTACAAACATAGGTAATTTCTCTAACATCATTTGTGTGGCTTCCTTCACAGTGTCGTTATCATCCTCATCCTCAGCTTCCTTCACTATTCTAGCGTACAACTTAGGGATGTTTTGTACATAAACACTTTGTATATGACCAGGAAGGGAGGTAATCTTTGGTCGCAGCATAAATTCTAATGTTTCTTTGGGATTCTTTAAATATCTGTGTTAAGATATTGTTTAAATTAAAATTGTTATTGATATAATTACATACAATTTGAAAATAATTGAATATGATCAATTTGTTTCATGTTGAAACTTTTTTTTTAAGTATGAACAGTAAACTTATAAACTTATAAATGTTAAATGTTATGAGAATGTCATTTCAATCTGATGATACTGTTCTGTGAGTTGGTTTTTTTCAACAATATGCACGAAACTCCAAAATTCCCAGAGGTCTGCAGTCTGCACGCTTAACCACAGGCCCAGTAGCCCAGGCTTGTAAAATGTCTTTCGGGCCTGTAAAAATCATCTCTACAGGCCAACATAATCTAACTAAAATTTTCCAAAAATTGGGCTCAGGGCCTGTAGATTTAAAGTTTATCGTGAAGACTGGGTCTGAACAATTTTCTCTTTGAAAATTAAGTTCTATGAATATGGCAAAGATATTCCTATAATGAGAAAGTGTGATGAAAATTCTGACTGACAACTTAACTGCAGTTACAGCTTTGTGAAGATTCCATTTTTGTCATTATATTCATTCTATTATCAACTTACTCAGCAAATTCTCCACAGATCCATGCAGCAGCATATAGAACTTCACATATTCCATTTCTTTGGGAGTTAGCTGATAATACATGAGAATTTTCTAACAGCACTGCCTGTAATAATATAGAAGGTTTATACAAGTACTCTTAATTCGGTGCTTTGTGTCTACTGTTTTTATGCTACATGCATGTATTTGGTTTATTTGTGCTTCTTACCAATTTTTTAAGTTAAGCCATTTGCAACTGATTTTTACAGTTTGTTCTTATGTTGTGCTGTAACTCCAATGTCCCAGGTAAGGGGAGGGTTGAACACTCAAAAACATAATTAACCCTATTACATTTATATGCCTTTCACAAGTCCGGAGCTTGTAATTCAGTGTTTGTTGTTGGTTCATTTCTCTGTCATATTTGTTTTTTGTAAATTGTATTGAATATTAATTAGGCCGATAGTTTTCTTATTTGAATTGTTTCACATTTTTCATGTCAGGGCCATTAATAGCAGACTATAAGTTATGAGTTTTGTCTCATAATTGCTTTTATCTTCGCCATTTGAACTCTGGTGGATACTAAGTTGTCTCATTGTCAATAATACCACATCTCCTTATTTTTATATTTATAACAAAAGACCTATCTATGTATAATAATATCTTTCTTTTTTAAATCTCTCTGGACTAAACTAATTCAACTCTGTTATAGGCCTTAAATCTGGTCTATTCAATATAAATTTTAAACAGAACAAAATGTGTCCATCAGAAACCAAGTCCCTAATTTGGCCTATATTTCAACAAGACAGCAAACTGGATTTTTTGACATTTATTTGTGTCCTGGCATTTTTCAATATCACAAGGACCATAACTCATGAACCGTCAAAGTGACAATCATCAATATTAAACTTGACCTCCATTTTGTCATCAGTAACAACATATTAAAATTTGAAAAGCTTTTGTTGAACGGTTTATGAGTTAAAATCACGGACACGACTGGAAAGACCATTTTTCAACCTTTCAAGAACCATGACTCCTGAACGGGTAAAAGTGAAAATCGTCAATATTGAACTTGACCTCCATTTTGTCATCAGTAACAACATATTAAAATTTGAAAAGCTTTGGTTGATGGTTCATGAGTAAATGCATGGACACTGTTTGGCAGTCGCCCGCCCGCCCGCTGTACATCCCCAAAACAATAACCGATTTTTCCTTCAGAAATCTGTTTAAAAAGTTCACATTATAATGATCATGTGTACCATGTTTAATTGATTTTACCACACTTTATAGTAAACTACCGTTAACCCAAACTTTTACCTTACTTAAAGCTTTTAATCTGGTAAGAGACGGAAAGATGAAGGAATGTTATGACAGACTCACAGACTTGAAAGCAAAATGCTCTCCTACGATCGTAGGCGAGACATAAAAAGTTTTCATTAATAAAAATACCAGCAGGGCCAACATTTCTCAATTTAAAATTGTAATTATGTAATATCCAACTGAAGAACTAATAAATACATTTTTGCATATATATTTTAAACAAGCATTCTGAGAGTATTGCATGGCAATACATAGTCCCCTACCAGGTAAAAATTCATTTTACTGGAACACGCTAACTTGTTCTATAACTTGTCATGGTGTAAACAAAAAGTAAATATCATGTCAATATCTTCAAGCATGACTAAAAACAGTGTGGAAAACTGATTATATGAGTGAAAAAAACATTAGATATGATTAATAGTTCTCTAAAATTAGATATGATGTAATACAGTGTATATCTATTTTCAAATTATAATCAAATAAAATTAATAGTTACAAATATTTTTTCTTTCATTTGTTACAAACTAATAATATTGATATGTAACTTATCTATAAAATGTCAACAACTTTTATCTACACAATGTAATGTATTGAAATATATACATAAATAAAAAAAGATTATTATCTAATTAAATGATTTCTCTTCATAATTTTTTTTTATATATATATATATATAGCATTCAGAAAATTAGTTTATACTAAATAACAAACAAACTTACCAAAAAATTCTTCAAATAATTTATCAAAGAATGTCTTTTAAAATAATGAGTTATCTCCCTTATTACAGAAATAATAGTTAAACATAGTACTCTAACATTAGATATGGTCCATAACTCTAGACTCAATCATCAGACCGGAACAAAATTCAAACTTGATCTATAACTTGTCATGATAAAACTATATACCAAATGTCAAATCAATATCTTCAAGAACGAAGAAAAAAAGTGCGGAAAGCTGATTTGCCGGACTGACGGATGGACAGATGGACAGACGGACAGACGGAAGGAGTGCAAACCTAAAGTCCCCTTCGACTTCGTCGGTAGGGGAGTAATAAATGGAGAATGTGTCCATGGGACACAGATGATGCTTACATATAACGTTAAAAAGGGACATAACTCAAGAACGGTAAAAGTGACGCCACCCAAATTCAAACTGGATTTGAGTTTTATGGTGATAAGCATTGTGTATAAGTTTCATAATATATATGAGGCAAACTAAATTAAAAAAATTATTCATACTGCCCTTAAATATTGACCCAAAAGAAAAAAAGTGGTAAGTAAAATAATACAAACTTTCTACCACCATATCTGACATCCATACAACTGAATTTCACGAAAATAGTAAAAAAACAAACAAGGAATAAACAAATATAATGGTTTTTCTCATGATTTATGTAAATTAAATTACAATAAAATATCTCACCATTTGACTGACAGCAAATGATCTTATAGCTTGGACACGAATAGCAACATCCTGCATCTGTGAGGCAATCAGTCGACCATGACGAGTTCCTTCCATCCTAGTTAACTCCACCAAAACACTTACATACCTGAATATAAAATAAACTGTTGACACAGATATGTCTCGCCTGTTGGCATAAAATTCCGAAAAAGACAATCTGATGAACAGCAACATTGCTAATTAGTTCAATGTCGCTGGACCAATTAGTGGACAGGCAGGGTTCAACACTAACGCTAGTCCGCTTGCCCGAGGCTAGTAAAAATTAGGGAGGGCTAGTAAAGTTTTCATCACAGTAGTCCGACGGGCTAGTCAAAATTTTGTTTATAACTAGAAATTTTACAAAATTTTAGTTGTCAACAAATCCCACATTGTTTGCTGACCTTTGCTGTCTTTATTGTACAGTTTATTCACGTATATTTTGATTGTCAGACATTTTTAACATGAAAGGTACTTTTTGGGGATGGGAAAGAAACTGAAACAATGATGGTACTTAAAACATTGAAAACCATGTATGTTACAAACGCCGTGATGATTCTGATCAGAAACCTTGATCTCAAAAGTGCTTTCAGAATATCAAAATAATAACATGAATACGAAATTTACATACATTACTACCGAGGCCATCACTGTTTGGGAAAATTGTACAACTTATTGGGAGGAATTTTAAGCCATTTTTTTTAGTAATTGGGAATTTTCTTTCATGGAAAAAGCTGTATTTCAAGTGTAATTTGAGGCAACCAATATCACTGACATATAATATGTACTAAATTATAGGTCTCTGGTAAAAAGATACAGATTTTTAGGAATAAAATTTCGTCCTGCAAAAAAAACAAAACAAAAACAACTGACAAACAACAAGGGAAAAGAAGGAGTCCATGAAGAATTATGACAAAAAACAGCAAGGGAAAACCTTTCCTCTTTTGTTGGTGTATTTGTAAATCCCTTACTTACCCATCTTCATTAAAGACACTAGTAATAATGATAAGTAAAATGAGGATGATGATGAAGTAATGATCTAAAGGGGTCTTCAAAATAGGTCGAACACATTCTTAATATAGATGATTAAAATATGATTTTTTTTTTTTTTTTTTTTTTTTGTATTTTTTATTAGCAAACCAGTGAAATTTCATGAAACAAAACATGTTCAAAACCCTCTGGAAATGCTCCAGAACACAGGATTTTGCTTCATTTGTATCAAAATTTTCGAGGGGGGGTGCATGCCCCTATACCCTCCTAGATAGGGTCTTGCCTTTGGCACGACCATCCAAGTGCCTTCGGCACTTGGAGGGCTAGTGATTTCATAAGAGGACTAGTAGATAAATAATTTCACTAGCCCTGCGGGCTAGTACATACATTTAGTTAGTGTCAAACCCTGACAGGGCCTCAAAATGGTTGACAAACTGAGATGTACAGACAGCAATGTAACTTTATAGAAAATATTGTTGTCTATTGTAAGTAGTAACAAACTAACTTAAGCAGAAAACCTAACATTGAAAACTGTTAATTAGTTGAAAGTCACTGGACCATGACCTATGGGGCAGGGCCTCAAAATAGTCGTCAAACTGATATGCACTGATAGTAATGCAACTTTATAGAAAATATCATTGATCTATAACAAGTAGTTGCTAACATTTAAAATTGCTTATTAATTGAAAGTCACTGAACTATGGCCTAGGGTACAGGGCCTCAAAATAGGTGTCAAACTTATATGTTCTGATAGCAATGCAACTTCATACAAAATATTATTGATCTATCACAATAGTTCCTATCAATCTAACTTTAGCAGAAAAGGTAATTCAAAGTCACTGGACCATGGCCTAGGGGGCAGGGGCTTCAAAATAGTTATCAAACTGATATGTACTGATAGCAATGCAACTTCATACAAAATATCATTGATCTATCACAAGTAGTTTTTATCAAACTAACTTAAGCAGAAAACTTAACAGTTAACATTGCTAATTAATTCAGTCACTAGACCATGCATGGCCAAGGGGTCAGGACCTCAAAATAGTTGTAAAACTGATATGCACTGATAGTAATGCAACTTCGTACAAAACTAACTAAAGAATTGTTGACGCCATCATCATCATCGCCGGAAAAGCAATCCCTATGTCTCGCTTTCCTCAGGCGAGACAACAAAAATGCACAAGCATACACCCATGCGTACTTTAAAGTATCAGAAAGCATGAAGTAGGTGTCCGACAGATCTAAAAGGCGCAAATTCATAACAACCAATCACAGTTGAGCTGCCAATCAAATATGAAGTCATTCTGTTGAGCAGTTTCTGAGAAAATTGTGACAAAAATATTTGTTGGGGAAATGGAAGGATAAGGTGGTTGCAATATTGTCCTGTGGGGGAATAATAGTACGCTAAAATCAATGATTTAAAAAATTACTACTGTAAATTCACAAATTATTGCGTGCATTTATTATTGCGATTTTGTCATTTTAGAATAAAATGCGATTTGAATTTTTGCGATATTGAGAAAAATCCTGTTTAAATCATATGAAAAATTTCAAAATGCGAGTTTAAATTATTGCGATTATAACCCTGTCGCATTTTTCGCAATAATAAAAACATCGCAATAATTTCTGAATTTACAGTAATTCGCTTGGTTATGTATAACTATTAAAATCTAATGTAGCTGCATATTGGAGTTACACAATGGTTTAATGACTATTGATACTTTCAAAAACATAACTTGTTTAAAACTAAGTAATAAAAGACTGTTTTTAATTTTGAAATGAATAAAAATGGTCATGGCAGTAATATATCAGCAGATGGGTCATTATCTAAGGTACTCAGGATAACATCAAAAGTGTAAAAGAGCTTACCATTCAAAGTTGGTGACATATTGGTAATTAGACTGACTACATATTTCTATAATTTTAGCAAGTAATTCATCTCTGTAATGTGTCCCTTCAGCTTTATCCATATGTACCATCAGTTTCTTTACAATTTCCATTAAATTTTTCTTTGAAACCTGTGCATAAAATATACTTTATGTATAGAATAAGTTCTATTCTGAAAATCAATTATTTATGTAAAATTACACATATCTACTGTATTGTTAACTCTCAATTCTTAGTTTTACGTCTAAACTTGTACAAGTGTTAACTAATTTCTTGCAAATGGTCAATTCTATTCAAATTCTATGAGCAGCTGTTTTATAATATATCAGGTGTTGAAACCAAAATTCATCAGATGAAGCTCAGTTAGAGCTAAAAAGATAAGTGCTCTTCATCAAACTATTTCAAGGCAATATAGCCTTTTTGTGCTGATGCGGCGTAGAGCAATCACCAATCAATCAATCAATCAAACTATTTCACCTAAACAATATTGATTTCCATATCTAAAATAATGTTTGAACATTGGACGTATGGAAAACAAGTTTTGTAAGATTAATCAAAGTCCCTAGTTTGGGGCTTGCTACACGAATTTTCAACCCCTTTTGACTATTTTCAGCCATATACTTATTTATGTGAAAACTTGGTAATTTTTGTTTAGAACCTTTTTTCTCCCAAATTTATTCAATTCTTGTAGTGGAAATTCTAATGTTGAAAAATCAGAAAATTATATACAGAGTAAATTTATTCACTGACAAATAATAATGTCCATCAAAATTAGATCCAATGATATATTGATTTTCCTTATTTCTTGTATCACACATTCCTGAATTGATTGTAACAGAAGTATGAACTGCTGGATATTTGTCTCATTTGCAATCATATCACATCTCCTTATTTTTTTCTGTTTCTATCTACTCCTGAATATTAATGCACAACCAACTTAATTAAATTACGCACCATTCCATATAACAAATCTAGAGCTCTTAATCTTATTGATTCATCTTTGTCATCTAAACACTGTAAGATTAGATCTTTATGACACTGTACACTTTTTGGATGTGATTGTAATATCCTGGACATAGCCAGAAGACCCAAATATTTTACTGGAATGAAACAAAGTTTTAATGTAGTACAATAAAAATACTGTTAAAACAAAATATTTTCCTTAAATTTCATTGTATTATATATATTAAGTATTTTGCAATGTATCTGTATTGTAAATAATAAGGAACTAAAACTAGTAATAGGATTTCACTATCCTTTGCCTGAAAATTGATATATCGGTATTAAATTTTTCTAACAATAACTTCTAACATATACCTTAATAAAAATAAACATAAGAATGTGGGGAAATTGTAGCCACTACAAGTTTTGCAGTAAAAAAGTAAATAATATTGCAATGCAAAAACACTGTAGTTAAAACCTTGTACCACATTTAATTTTCATGATAAAGGAACCTACAGTTCTTTGTACAAGTCTAATTAAGAAGCTAAATAATAACAAAATTATTAATATATATTTTATGTAGTTTTTATGTCCTTTGAACCAGAATATGTATTGTCTTTACAACAAATAATTTTTATCTACAAGAATAACAGAACATGATAAAACAAGCTACTTCTTTATTTTCAGTAGTTTTTCTATCTTTTAATCAGAATATGTATTGTCTTTAAAACAGATTACTTAGACTTTTAGTATCTAACTGAATAGCAGGTCATAAAAGAATAAGCTGGGGATTACAATCTACAGATGTGTCACTTACAATTCTGATCAGAATCTTCAATCAATATCCTTAGTTTCTGTACACACAGCTGTAAAATAAGGATAGGAGTTATTGTCCCCTGGTTTCTAGCTCTATTATGGCATAAAATTTAATAATAATCAATTATATCTGGGAAATTGTTAATATTTTTTATTCTTTGAAGTAGTTACAATAATGGAGGTTCCAGGTCATTCATAATATATTTTATGTAAAGATGTGCCATAAAATTCCATAATTATATTATTTTCCATTATGAACAAAATATACCATTGGGATAAATTAATTTTGGAATATTGAATTTGAACACAATGACAACAGTGACTTTATATCTTAAAAAAGAAAATAATTCTGACTATAACATATTGTGTAGTATCATATGCTGCAAAACAAACGATCGTGATGTCATTGGGATATTCCCTTTGGATGTTCCTTTGTATCCATAATAACCACTTTGCAGATAAAAAAAATACCAATCCTTCTAACATGCAAATTTCATTATAAAATATTGCACATAAAATCAGTGAGTGTTTAGTGATCAATTTGTATATTTTGAAAAGGAATTCAACAGGTTGGGGACAATCAATCAAATGGTAGAACTACTCCAAAAATGAGTAATAATTTGATAATGCTTAAAATAAAAATAATAATTTAGGTGAGTCTTTTTACCTAAAATGGAACAAATTCATAGAAAATAGAACAATTTTTCCTAAAGATCCAAATCATTATTTGGAGTTTTAAAAGAGTTAGTAGTCTTGAAAAGGGTTAATTCTTAGTCAATTTCATAGGCATATAACTTCTCAGTTAATCAGTAAAGGACTATACATCATTTGGAAAAGTTGTTGCATAATTCCTAAACATGTGCCAATTTAAGCATAAAATGTGGATTAAAAAAAAAAATTTACTACTAGAAAATTTTTCCTTGTTAGAGGGATAGTTACTCATTTGGGGAACTAGCCCCATTTGGCGGGTTTGTCCCCAACCTGTTCCAAGTTGAATCTATATATTAATCAATTTACCTTGCAACTCAGTTAAATATGAAACAACTTTAATATATCAGAATAACTTTAATAGAAAAACAAAAGATATGCATATTTTTCCCATTCTTTTTTCATAAAAGGTTAAAGAAATCCCCCAAAAGTGGATGATTTTAAGTTATTTTCTTATTGTTGTCAAATAAATATAAATTAAACATACAAAAAAATTACCGTCTTTTGGTATGCATAGTGCGCATTTGTGTATTGTGCGCACCACCTTTATGGTCCAAGAAACTTGAGAAAAAAAGTTTCTTAATCGTATAATACACATAGACATTTTCGGAAAAGTCACAGCTCCAAAATCGGTAAAATGTTGCTTGAGTGTGATTTTTTCAGCAAGGAATTAATGAGAAGTCATGATTAATATCATGGAAAGAATGTATTGTAGCTGAATAAAGAATTTAATAGTAATCTTCTTTTTATAACCCACAAGTTAATGTTTGTCGTTTGTGTTGGCAAACAGGAAGTCTAAACTGGAAGTTTTTTAAATGGTCACCGATGTCGGTGAATTCTGTACGGAATACGTAATTGATACGAAATTGTATTTTCTTGAATTATTTAATTTTATGTTATGAATTAGTGTCGAAATAAATTGTTAAAATCTTATAATTTTTATTTTTTGTTTGTTGATACTAGCTGTTAATCCGGATTATCACACCTCAATCAATGGGTCTAATTGATGTCAAAACAATCAATGACAGGTTCACCATGTTCCTAATTAAATTCGTTCAGGTTACAATTATGGGATAATCATGTTTTCAATCATAATTTCTTTTAAAGGTTTTAAACAGTTGTTACTGTTTAAAAATTACAAAGTAGAAACGTATTTATAAAAAAAAAACTGCTCATAGACTAAATCATCACTTTACAATATTAAGTCACATGACTGGTGATCACCTGATACATTAAAAAAAAATGGCGGTTTATCTTTTCAAAACGAGCGTGATTTTTTCAATTTTCATACACTTATCTTCTACTCTCCATGATGAACACATACAAAACAGTAAGTTATGACCACAAGAAACACAGAGCCTGAATTAACCGACAACAAAAGCTTCATGGTGTCTTTATTAAGACATGGCAAACTTCCGGATTGCAAACAGATGGACAAATTTACACGATAAACGAACGTAACTGCAGAGATATAAAATGTATTTTATTTGAATAAAACATGACATATCAAGTACAATAAGATACATATTACAAATATAACATGTAAAACATAATAATAGTCGAGGTATTAGCGAAAAATTCCGTACTCTTCACTTCACCTGTTTTTTTCTTTTGTCGGAGTTCGGACCTGAAAAAAGGCTAAGAAAATGTTTGTAGGCATGTATACTGCGCACCCCTCTTACAAGAAACATGACCCAGGGTATAAATGTGCGCACTATACATACCAAAAGACGGTAAATATAAATAGGTGATATATAATACCAAAATTCCCTGAAGATACTTAAAACAGAAACTAAGCTTTGAACAGAGTATAGGCAATTTCACTGCAGCAGGTTAATTCTGTATCACAAAGGTCAATATATATTACCCCTGAACACAATTTAAGACTTTAATTGAAGTCAAATGTTTGTTTGCATTTTTTTTTTACATTTGTACATTTTTGCGAAGTCAATTCTAACAGTCCCAAAATGATGATAATTTTTTTTACCTTTATTAAATTTTCACCAACACCTAGAACAAGTATGAATTTTAAAAGATGCTAGTATCACTGTAGTGATGCTAAACAGAGCTTTTCTGGAAATTAAATATTAACAAACTTTCAGATTACTTTTCATGATGCAACTTAAAGCTTACATACATTTTTTGATTATGTTCAAAACATAGAGCTCTTTTATGTAGGGTGTGGGGTGGGGTCATTAAGCTATCATAGATACCTATTTGCTGCAGTGAAACAAGCACTAACTGCATTGAGAGATCTAGAAACGTTGTTTACCTGTAAACCCCCAACAAATGAACAAAGCAAGCAATATAAGAATTAAATAACAAGTACCTGTATGGAGGCAGTGTGGTTTGGGATGCCTGAAGATATAGAAATGAGTACTGTAAGTAAGAGAAAAATGTGTCAGCAGTGATCATTATGGCTGAAAATCAACACGTGACAGTCATTTACACATTTATTTAATTCTTTTATCTAATTTTGTTCTTTTCAAATATAAACATATGATACCGATATTTAAAAACAGGACATTTATCTGGAATCAACTTCATTAAGTTTGCTCCAAACCAAAAGTTTTTGAAAAGCTAATAAACAAAAAGTTTGTTAGCAACAAATCTTTTATGGACTTTTCATACATGTGAAAAGATAAAAATGGGCTTTAGGTTCGCTTAGGGCCTTAATAGGCCAAAAGAGTTGAAGCATTACAAAATCAAGTGAATTTTGCTTTAAAATGATTGATAAGTATGTTCAACCTCTGAACTGTATGGTCTTTCATATATTATAAATTTGCTTTCAGTTTTTAGTTCAAAAGATTACATGAATTCAAAAATATATATGTAGATAGAAAAAAATGGACATCTATTTATAAGGTCAGACATGGTTTTATTGTTTTTTTCTGTTAAAACATCTTAATGTTAATTGTTAATAGCATATAGTCTAAAATTTCCTTAAATCTGTACATGACTGCCAAATATATATATAGAAATTCAAATTAGATAAATCAAATATGAAAATATGTTTATTCTTGAAATAGCTATAAAAAGGACATCTAATTCAATAACATGTACTAATAAGAACTTTTCAAAATCACATTTCATAAATAAAATTTAATCAACTTTCCAAACAAACTTTATCATAGAAAAGGTAAAAAGCATAACTTATACAAGAAAGATAAACTGTTTAAGTTCTAATAGGAAATGGTGCAGAAATTGGAAATTAAAATCACTGCAGACACAATAACATATCACAACAAAACAAATGTGTGCAACTATAAAGAAAACAGTCTATTTAAAAATAAATTCTGCATTCACTGACTATAACATGACTGATTAATTCTTGTTTATTTAATGTCCAGTGGCAAACATTTCATGTATATTACATGACAAGACTATCTTAAGCCTATATCATATCAATATGAATAATTGTAATAATATTTCAAACTGTTTGAATACCTTTCACATGATAAGTATATATATTCTTCACACATTCATAGTACAAAATTCAGTTTGAAAAAGAATTATATATAGTTTTTCCTATACAAGTATATCACTGTAAACAAATGATTGCAAGATAATTCTAAAAGTCTCTCATTTTATTAAAGTTAAAACATAAAATAAAACATGCTATAAAAAGGTTTAACAATAAATTGACAACATTAAAGGAAGCTTACCTGCTATCACTGTGTTGATACACTCATATAGAAGAGACATGGCTGAAGTACTGAAAAGTATAATATACTACCTTAAACTTACTGTTTATATAGAATTCAGATGTGCATAATACGCTCGTTTTTACTCAAAAATTAAGTGCCAGACAGGGATACAGATCATAGGGTATAACAAGCAAGAGATAAGAGGAGAAGTCTATTTCACAATGTTTTGTTTATGTTCTACCCTATTTGTTACTCAATTTGTTTGTATTTACACATACTCTTCCTATTCTAGTTAATGACAAACACGATATCTCTAGCTGATTTCAACACTCATGAAGCATTCTTAAATCATTTATCAACATTTGTAGAAGTGAAACTAGAGGCTCTTTAGAGCCTGTGTCGCTCATCTAGGTCTATGTGCATCTTCAACAATGGACACACTCCAACCCATTATGGACTTGAAGATAATTTTGACAAAAATCTCTTTTTTGTTGATCTAGTCATTTTTTCTGTTTTCAGTTTCTCATTATCTTCTTTAGTTATTGGCCAAAACACAGAAAAGGGTAAAAAGTAATTATTATTTAAGGGCAATAACTCCTATAAAGAGTATACTAATGATTTTGGCAAAATCTATCTAATTTGTAGATCTTGTCTTGTTGATCATTTTTGCCATTTAAAGCTTGCCTCTATATAATTTAAAAAATAATAGACAAACATGAAAAAATTGGTAAAATTTGTCATTTAAGGGCAACTACATGTACTAAAAGAAGTCATCTGACAGTTTTGATGTAAATGAACTATAGGTTGATCTTTTCATTTGGAACATTTCTGCCACTGTCAGATTTTCTCTATAGTGGTTTTCGAGATAATAGATAAAATTCGCATTTTACCCCTATGTTCTATTTTTAGTCATGTCAGCCATGTTGGTTGGAAGGCTGGGTCATCAGACACATTTTTAAAACTAGATTTTGTAAAAGTTAATGACAACAGATGCCAAGTGATGAGAAAAGCTCACTTGGCCCTATGGGCCAGTTGAGCTGAAAAAGGTGTAAGCCTGCTACGGGAGATTGAAATTAAGATCAAGGTCATATGATAACAGAACAACATATACCCATACACCAAATAAACACTGATGACCTCTATAGCTATCATGTATAGTTCAATTAAATCATAAATGAATTCAACATATTAAATCGACACTCAAAATTTAAACATCATTTAACTTTGATGTTTGTGCAACCCAGCCTTAGACACCAAGTGTGAATTATTTCAAGGCAACTTAATAATAGTTTTCAACTGACATAAATAAAGTCCCCTTTTCACAAAAGATCATAAGACTTATTGACCCTACAACAGATAAATGCTGTATATAATCTGACTTCTGTGCAACAGGGTTTGTCACAAAATACTTAACAAACTCATAGACAAAATCTAAGATAAACCAACCCGAGAATAATTTCTTTAATATTCATTACTTACCTGTGTATAAGGTTGGTTAATGGTTCAATCAGTTTTTTACCCAGTCTAGGTTCCAATGGTGTTAATGCACTAAACTGTAAACAGAAAAATTGGATCAAATACTGTAATCAAGTTAATTTTGTAGGATCTTGTTTGCAGGCATTTCTGCACTTACATAATATCACGATTCTATCGTTAATGCAGAATTTCGAGAGAAGTTTGACCTCTCCAATTATGACAATTATCACAAACATTGTGTAAATCAAACCACAAAAATCACTATTTTTAAAGCACTTTATATAGGTGTGTATAATTCTGTGATTGCAATTACCCATAGGACGTATCTTTATGTATATGAGTGTATATCTTATGTTGCATGATTATTTACTGTAGTTCAAGGAAGGCTAATCTTTAATATTTAATTAACATAATGACTTGATTTACGGATATATAATCAACTATAAATATGTATGCTGGACTTTTAATGAAACTATCGTTTTCTTTTTCTTTAAATTATAAATGTACATACCAGTTTAATGATTTTGATAAGAACCCAGTTGTTTGTGGAGCTTGTCATTAGTTTGAAGAACAGTGGTGCTAATGACAGGTAATTTTTAGGATTCTTTCTTGCAAGTTCACAGATTACATTAACAGCTGCTGACTGAACACCTAGATATCAAAGAAAAGTGTAAATCAATTTTACAAATTTTTCGAATTGTTTATATTCAGTTGACATCAAACTTCTTACAGTTTAGATCTGTTATAAGGTCTCAGCAAAATCATAAACAAAATAAATGGAGAATGTGTCTATGGGCCACAGATGCCCCTGCTTGTAAATATGTATGAGTCAACTTCCACATCAAATGCAGGATTCACATTATTAAGACCGCTTTTTGTAATTATAAGCACTGTGTATAAGTTTCATACATCTGGTTGAGGAAAAACTAAAGTTAGAGAACGGAAACGACAGATTTAGCAATTTTTCCATTTATAAAGGGGCATAACTCAAGAACAGTAAAAGTAACGCCACCCAATTTCAGACTTGATCTGTGTTTTTTGGTAATAAGCATTGTGTATAGTTGAGGCAAACTAAAGTTAGAGAACGGAAACAAAAAATTCAGCAATTTTTATGTTTATAAAGGGGCATAACTCATGAACAGTAAAATGGACGCCACCCAATTTCAAACTTGATATGAGTTTTGTGGTAATAAGCATTGTGTATATGTTTTATAACATTTGGTTGAGGCAACTAAAGTAAGATAACGGAAACGAAAAATTCAGCAATTTTTATGTTTATAAAGGGGCATTACTCATGAACGGTAAAAGTGACACCACCCAATTTTTAACTTGATATGTGTTTTGTGGTAATAAGCATTGTGTATAAGTTTTATAACATTTGGTTGAGGTAAACTAAAGTTAGAGAACGGAAACCAATTTCTGGACATTTGGGACGGACGGACAAGGGTAACACTTAATGCCCACGATGCCTAGAGGCGGGGGCATAATAAGTCACTAATCCAGACATGTTTTAATTGAGAGAATATATCTTATTTTCAATTATATTCCCACATTGTATAAAGTCATTTCAAAGACCAATACAAATATCTAACTGGCATAAGATATCAAACACGAAATACAAAATTGGTCATCTTAAACTAACATGGGACACATTTGAATTTTCTTTGCTTAGTTTGTAGTAACATTTGGAAGAAGACACTCAACGATGCTAATAACATTCTCCTGACAAAAAAAAATAATGGTGTACAAATGTCTTATCCACACTTTTCACAAAAAGAAAATCCCAGTGATCTTTTAACTACACTGAACATTTGGCTATCAATGTGATGCAAGATATATGATCATATAAATTGATGTTAAGATGTCTTTCTTGGTTTCTTTTGTGTTATTGGGCTGCTGTCTCATATCCTTTTATTCTTAAACAGATGAAACAAATAACTACATTGTATGTTTAAATATTTACTATTATGAAATTATACAGTATGCAGTATGTATAATTGTGTAAAGTAAAAAAGAACTTTACAGTTATCCGTTTTTTTTTCTCCTCATGCAAATGTAATGTATCTTTTATCTAATAAAACGCAATATATATTTTTGTCTAAATACTTTGGAAACTTATGAGTACCTGGATCAGGATCCTCCAACTTTTCTTTCAGTCTTGGAAAAGCTGGTCTGAGTGCTTCTGGAAACTGTAGGAACACTTTATACATGATTAATACTGACTTCTTCCTCAAGTAAGGTCTAGTCGATGTCATCTAAAACACAAAATCTTATTCATATTCCACAACTCAAAAAATATATTTCATATAAATGCATGACATTATATATATCCAATGTACCATATGTAAATGTAGATACCATTATATACTCCAACATCCACAAGGTGTAACTGTGACCAAATTACAACTTTAGACGATCAAATTTCAACAAGTGATATTAGATATAAAAATAAGAAAATGTGGTATAATTGCCAATGAGACAACTCTCCACCAGAGACCAAATGACAGAAGTTAACAGCTACAGGTCACTGTATGGTCTTCAACAATGAGCAAAACCCATACTGCATAGTTAGAATTTATTAGAAATAAAATGCTCCGCAAGGCGCAGCTTGATACGACCGCAGAGGTCGAACCCTGAACAGTTGGGGCAAGTATGGACACAACATTCAAGCTTGATACAGCTCTGAATTTGGATTGTGATTAAATATTTGACACAGCATAGGTTTCTGACACAGAATGAATGTGGTCTAAGAACTTAAAAATTTTAAATTGGACATTCACCTATTATGGTCCAATATCCAAAATCTAAATACATGGTTAGATTCAGCATATCATAGAACCCCATATATTCAATTTTTGTTGAAATCAAACAAAGTTTAATTTTGGACCCCGATTTGAACCAACTTGAAAACGGGGCCCATAATAAAAAATCTAAATACATGTTTAGATTCAGCATATCAAAGAACCCTAAGAATTCAATTTTTGTTAAAATCAAACTAAGTTTAATTTTGGACCCTTTGGACCTTAATGTAGACCAATTTGAAAATGGAATCAAACATTAAGAATCTAAATACACAGTTAGATTCGGCATATCAAAGAACCCCAATAATTCAATTTTTGATGAAATCAAACAAAGTTTAATTTTGGACCCTTTGAACCTCAATGTGGACCAATTTGAAAACGGTGCCCAAAATCCAAAAACTTTATACACGGTTAGATTCAGCATATTAAAGAACCCCAAGAATTCAAGAATAAAACCCCATTGAAATTGGTCAAGCAATAAGCAATTTATACGAAGTATCTTCTTTTGCACAATACTGTGCAATTGAATATTTCTTGCTATTGCGCAATACTGTACAATTGACAATTTCTTGCTATTGCGCAATATTGTGCTATTGGATATTTCTTGCTATTGCGCAATACTGTGCAATTGAAGATTTCTTGCTATTGCACAATACTTATTATATAATAATTTACACATCCTGTTTGGTGTGTATCTCCTACGATATCATTATTATTTGCTTTTAAATATAAATCAGAAATAACCAACTTAAAATGGAAAATTTTAAAAGAAAAAAAAAAAGTAAAAAAAAATAATCCCCCCCCCCCAAATTTTTTGAACCCCCTTATGATTCATCACCCCCAAACTCAATCCCAGCCTTCCATTTGTGGTATGGTACCTTGCAGTACAATTTCAGAAAGATCCATACACTTACACACAAGTTATTGTCCTGAAACTAGAAAAATGCTTATTTTTGCCCCTTTTTGGCCCCTAATTCCTGAAATATTGAGGCAATTACCCCCATCATCAATCCCAGCCTTCCTTTTGTGGTATGGTACCTTGCAGTACAATTTCAGAGAGATCCATACACTTGAACACAAGTTATTGTCTGGAAACTAGAAAAATGCTTATTTTTGGCCCCTTTTTGGCCCCCAATTCCTAAACATTTCGGGCAATTACCCCCAAACTCAATTCCAGCTTTCCCTTTGTGATATGGAACCTTGTAGTACAATTTCAGAAATATCCAAACACTTACACACAAGTTATTATCATGAAACTAGAAAAATGCTTGTTTTTTTGCCCCTTTTTTGGCCCCTAATTCCTAAAATTTTGAGGCAATTACCCCCAAAATCAATCCCAGCATTCCCTTTGTGATATGGAACCTTGTGGTACAATGTCAGAGAGATCCATACACTAACACACAAGTTATGTCTGAAAGTTACAAAAATGCTTATTTTTGGCCCCTTTTTGGCCCCTAATTCCTTAACTGTTGGTACCATAACCCCCAAAATCAATCCCAACCTTCCTTTTGTAGTATTGAACCTTATGGTAAAATTTCATAGAGATCCATTCACTTAAACTAAAGTTAGAGTGCGAAAACCAATGTGTCTTCGGACGACGACGACGCCAACATCATACCAATATACGACCGCAAAATTTTTGCAGTCGTATAAAAATGAGGAAAAGTCAATAGTAAAAAAAACTTATTCCATGCATGCTAAATGCGACCCAAACAGAATAGTAATAATTCATGAACAACAAGGAAATTGCCAGAGATGAAAAATGCCCATACTATTAAATTCTTATGTGGAACATCTAAATTTTCTGTTTAGGTTAAAATGAAGTTGCAATTTTAATTTGTTTTGTTTGTCTAATTTTTTAAAGACTTACCAATGTCATGATATCATTTGCAAGATCCCTGGCTAGGTCCTGTGTGACAAAACATGACAGACCAGAAAGGGCTACTCCTGCATCATACATATTCTGACTATTAAGGTCCTATAATGAAAACATATATAAATTTATATACAAATAATGCTGCACCGGCAATTTCAATAATCATTTATTTTTGGATATGGAGAATATCACAATTTTTCTAACATCACATTCTTAGCCTAATTTTTATGATAATTAAAAGAATAAACGGTATTCATTAGCTATTATGTAAATATTAGGCCAAAAATAAAAGAAAATGTTAATTATCATTCATTTCTCAAACAGATAAGGGTATGACGTAAATAAACAGAAACCAAAAAAATAAACAAGAATTCAAGTTGAAATTAATCTGCTATTTTTTTATCTGCAGTATTATGTATTTTATCTGCAGTATTATGTATTTTATCTGCAGTATTATGTATAAGTGCAGCAATACACTGAATAATACAGAAAATAAACAAAAGCATTATACTTCAGTTTACAGTAATCTATAACTATTGAAAAGTAATTTCATCAGATTAAGTAATTTGGTAATAACTGAGTAGCAACTAATGTTACACTTTTAAATGGAGTTTATTGATTTTTGTGTTGTGTTTCTTTCTTTCTTTCAGCGGAAATATATCCTAGTTTTATTCTATTTTTCAAATTTTACATAACAGATATTTTCCTAATTAAAATTATTCAAGAAACACAAATATTCAAAATACCATTTATGCCAAAAATATTACATTTTCTTTTATTTCATCACATTAATCAATTTAATAACAGTGACAAATCTCCTTTTAATCCCTCAATCTCTGAAGTAATCTGATACAGTCACCAGCTACAACTAGACATCATTGAGATGGGAGCCATCTCTGAAGGCCCGCTGTAAATATCTTGTCAACTGAAACCAAAGTTTTTGACCTTGAACTTTGACCAAGGAAGTTGTACAAACATTATGACACACCCTCTGGTGCTGGTTAATATACATGTCAAGGATAAAGTATGAAATTATAACAATTCTCTAGATATACAGCGGACACGATTTGTTATGGACGGACGGACAGACAGACTGATCACTATATGGTGACCCGCCACTAGGCAGGGCCCTAATAATGTTTGTTCATAATTAATAAAAGTGTTGAAAGAGCATTTATTCTATGGTGAATTTCATCTCAATATTATACATATATTAAAGTCTTCTTTGATTCCTTTACCATAAAGAGATTGATGGACTGGTCCAAACTCTGGATTTTTTCTTTAGGTGTTTTTTAACAAAACTCCTATATCCTAAGCACTGCTAATGACTAACATAAATTTAAATTGTTTAATTACTTTAATAATAATATATCATTAGCTCATAGGATCTAATACACACCTTCCTAATCATATTTGTTGTAAGCATAAGAACATCTGTACCATCATGAAAACTTTGTGATGCTGATAAGTAACCAATTCTCTGTAATACAAATTTTACAGGTACTGTGTTTGTCATATATAATAAAAGACTAAATTAAATGTAGACTATGGCACATTGTTATTAACAGTAAATGGTGAGTATGAACCATTGATATAGTAAATGGTGAGTATGACCCATTGATATAAACAATACAGTATGACCCATAGATATAATCAGTAAATGGTGAGTATGAACCATTGATATAAACAGTAAATGGTGAGTATGAACCATTGATATAAACAGTAAATTGTGAGTATGAACCATTGATATAAACAGTAAAAGATGAGTATGAACCATTGATATAAACAGTAAATGGTGAGTATGAACCATTGACATAAACAGTAAATGATGAGTATGAACCATTGATAACAAGAAATGATTGTAACAGGATGCTGTTATGAAGTCTCCCAAACGAAGCTCCCATAATTCGTAATTCCCAGGGTCGCCTGACATTGGGCAACGTCCAGTGAAAATTGGTTTGGTCCAGTAAAGTTATATGCATAAGTGATGCCTGGGGACTAACCTTGTATATCATTCAAATCATCTTGGCATGACAAACCAGAATATATATGGTTTAGGGGTGGGGATCTTGACCATTTACAAGATACTAGAACATTGGGGGTGGGGAGGAACCCCTGGGGACTGGCCCTATACGTCATTCAAATGTTCATTACATGACGAACAGGAAAATATATGGTTTAGGGGTGGGGATCTCAACCATTTACAAGATATTAGAACATTGGGGGTGGGGGGAATCCCTGGGGACTGACCGTATACGTCATTCAAATGTTCGAGACATGACAAATAGGAATATATATGGTTTAGGGGTGGGGATCTTGACCACTTAGAAGATATTAGAACTTTCTTAAATGGCAGGGGTTGGGGGTGACCCCTGGGGACTAACCCTGTATATCATTCAAACCATCTTAGCATAACAAACCAAAATATATATGGTTTAGGGGTGGGGATCTCAACCATTTACAAGATATTAGAACATTGGGGGTGGGGGGAATCCCTAGGGACTGACCGTATACGTCATTCAAATGTTCGAGACATGACAAATAGGAATATATATGGTTTAGGGGTGGGGATCTCGACCATTTACAAGATATTAGAACTTTCTCAAATGGCAGGGGGTCGGGATGACCCCTGGGGACTAACCCTGTATATCATTCAAACCATCTTAGCATAACAAACCAAAATATATATGGTTTAGGGGTGGGGATCTTGACCACTTACAAGGTATTAGAACTTTCTTCAATGGCAGGGGGTGGGGGTGACCCCTAGGGACTAACCCTGTATTTCATTTAATGGGCTTTATCATTTAGAACATTTTCAATTAAAAAGATTGTGTCTATCACAAACGGTTTTCAATTTATAATCATTTGAAAATTTTAAAAAATAAAATCCCATAGGGTTCTATAGTAAAACCCTCTTTTCTTTTTGCCCCTCAAAGTACCCCTTTATAAACCCCATTGCACAAACAAAACCCTGATTGCACCACTAGACATGTTTGTCTAACATATTGTGAAACCCTAAGTAAATCTGACAAGCGGTTTTGGAGAACAGGTGCGGACAAGTTCAAATTTAAAAGCGGCGGAAGAGGAAGAAGAAGGAGAAGAAGAATAATAATAATAATAATAACTGAGCAAAAACAATAAAAACAGTAAATGGTGAGTATGAACCATTGATATAAACAGTAAATGGTGAGTATGACCCATTGATATAATCAGTAAATGGTGAGTATCTCCCATTGATATAAACCATGGATTTTTCTAGCATTCCACAGGGTCCGGTATTCAGACCCATTCACAATGGCAAAAACCCTACATTTTTCCCAATTTTTGGAGAAAAATTCCCAAACGATCTCAAAATTCATTTTCATCTTTATTATTCATGACAGCAATGTTCATTTTGTTCAACCGCTAGCTTTATGCCGAAAATCCCCAACAAGTAATGTGTAAATCTGAGTAAAAACATATCTGACTGACGACAACAACATTGACAAACAATAGCTGCCATAAACCGGAAAAGTAGACAATTACAATACCGGATCAGATTCTGGGAGCGGATAAGGGTAATTCCGGGTTTGCCGATTAAAAACAATAAATAAATAAAAAAAATCCAGACAGGTGACAAAATACAGCTATGAAATATAAACAATAGTTTTGAAAACCAAAAGATATATGAAAAAGAAAGAAGAAACAGGAAATATTTTATGCAGAAACTCAAAATGTTTAGTTCACAAATTTTCATGTCAAAATCCAATAAAATTTTGAAGGGCTAGTAAAATATGGAAAAACAGGTGCATTTAAAAAGTGTAAGCCTGCCTGGCCAATTTAAATACATCTTATTTCTGTCCCTGAATTATTTATTATATTAACCATGTTAACTGTTACTGTCTTTGAAGATAAAGGCTGTAAATTTTTATCACATGTGTGCTTTAAGAACTACAATATTTTGATACTAAAATAAACTTGAGTGCCTTGTTGTTAAGTTTAAAAACAAAAAGAACAGAAAATAAAATTATTAATAGAAATCATGTAGTTTCTTACTTTATTTCCACAAAAAAAGATATTTATTAGTGAACCTAACACACTAAAACTCACATCTGGTTATTTTCCCAATTTCATTGAAAATCACATAAAAAAATTCCCAAAACTAGCCAGGGTCCTTTTTCCCAAAATACCCAGAAAAACCCCTGTAAACAGTAAATGGTGAGTATCTCCCATTGATATAAACAGTAAATTGTATAAACCATTGATATAAACAGTAAAAGATGAGTATGAACCATGGGTATAAACAGTAAATAATGAGTATGACCCATTGATATAAACAGTAAATGGTGAGTATGACCCATTGATATAAACAGTAAATGGTATGACCCATTGATATAATCAGTAAATGGTGAGTATCTCCCATTGATATAAACAGTAAATAATGAGTATGAACCAATGATATAAACAGAACAGTATGAACCATTGATATAAACAGCATAGTATGAACCATTGAAATAAGCAATAAATGGTGAATATGGCCAATTGATACAAAAAGTAAATGGTATGAACCATTGATATAAACAGTAAATGCTGACAGGCTAATGATAACTAATTCTTAACTAATAAGACCCCTCATTTACTGAGGCACCCTTTTGTTTTTGAGAAAGGAACCTAGCTTTTTCTTATAACTAAAATTGTGGAAAACACAAATGCAAGCCTCTAGTTACCTTGAAAGTAAATTTGCTGGAACTCATCACTTCTATGATGTTAAATGCTCCCCAGCTTATGTCATAACCAATCATTTGTAGCTGTAATTGAAAACAAGTTCAACTATTAGTTTTCTATTAATATATATATTTCACGAAAGAAAGCTTATACTAATTAAGAAATGAACATTTACCAATTGACAAAATCTGCAATGTTTGCAAGCCAATTTTGAGGTTTTTGTAGAAACACAAAGTTTTGTGCTGTTTAAAAGAATTGTGACAATGTTGCCATATACGTACTTAAATGTCTATAAAATATCATATTAAATTTGGTATTGATTTTGAAAAAAAGAACAGGACTATAAAATATTCAGTTATTTTTTTTATAAGTTTGCATATTCTTGTGAAAAAAATTTCAAAACCTGAAATACAACACACAAATATTTTGATGGACTGAATAAACAAGCAAAGAGTCTTTATTTCAAAACAGTTGTAAATCTACTTGTTCATAAAACATAATACAATTTGCAGTTAGCATAAGTTAAAACAACCATTGCCAGAACAAAGTTTCCATCTGTTACGTGACCATGGCCAGAACAAAATTACCATCTGTTACGTGACCATGGCCAGAATAAAATTACCATCTGTTACATGACGGTGACCATGGCCAGAATAAAGTTACCATCTGTTACGCGACCATGCATGGCCAAAATAAAGTTACCATCTGATACGTGACCATGGCCTGAATAAAGTTACCATCTGTTACATAACCATGGCCAGAATAAAGTTACCATCTGTTACATAACCATGGCCAGAATAAAGTTACCATCTGTTACATAACCATGGCCAGAATAAAGTTACCTTCTGTTACATAACCATGGCCTGAATAAAGTTACCATCTGTTACATAACCATGGCCTGAATAAAGTTACCATCTGTTACATAACCATGGCCAAAATAAAGTTATCATCTGTTACACGACCATGGCCAGAATAAAGTTACCATCTGTTACACGACCATGGCCAGAATAAAGTTACCATCTGTTACATAACCATGGCCAGAATAAAGTTACCATCTGTTACATAACCATGGCCAGAATATAGTTACCATCTGTTACACAACCATGGCCAGAATAAAGTTACCATCTGTTACATAACCATGGCCAGAATAAAGTTATCATCAATTATATGACCATGGCTGGAATAAAGATACCTACAGTTAAAATTACCAAGTTCAAAATAAAAGTTATTGTCAATTAAAAGCTGTGTTTTTTTACTTTTTTTTTTTCATGCATTCATTAATTTATTACTTTCTCCAAAGTGACAGGCATTCCTATTCTTAATTGAATGTCCATACATTGTATAAAGTGTATAGTCATACATTCAAGAAACAACTTTTTTACTTTTTCTGGCCATTGTAATTTTATCTGATGGCAACTTTTAAAACCATGTTAGCATTGATGTGCTCCTAAACATGAGGATGAAGTTATAGATGAGTCTTAAAGCAAGCTTACATATGATAGCTTGCTGACAGCATTTGCCTTGACTGCAATATTTTCTTGTTTCAATTCCTGTTTGATTTCATCAATGCACTCGGCTATGTACTTGGCCTGAAATTAGAAAAAAAAATCTATGTCTTGGGGTAGTGTAGATTTATTTATTTTCATGGGTACCAATATTCGTGGATTGAGAAACAATTGAATATTTTTAGATAAGTGATTTTTGTGGTTTTGCCAATGTAACACTCAAGCCTATAGAACATTTATACTTTGCTGATTATTCAAATTCATAGTTGACCTATACCCACGAAATCCAGGAAAATTGGTATCCCAAGAATAATAACAAATAAACATTTTCTTATATTGAAAGATTGCTGTCTCACTAACATACATATATGAAATGATAGTAGATATAAAAACTCTTTAAGTTTTGGCCAAAATGAATAGGGTTGGGTCAGTGATACTTATTATTCTTCCTTTTTCAATAATTTTAACTAGGGCATTGTACTTACTTTAACAAGGAATTTTTCCACTGTCTTAAATTCAAATTTGATAAGGAAATTAGGAATAATAAAATGCTCCGCTGGGGCGCAGCTTGATACGACCGCAGAGGTCGAACCCTGAACAGTTGGGGCAAGTATGGACACAACATTCAAGCTTGATACAGCACTGAATTTGGATTGTAATTAAATATTTGACACAGCATAGGTTTCTGACACAGAATGAAAGTGGTCTAAGAACTTGAAAATTTTAAATTTACCTATTCAGACCATATCATTATTATTTGCTTTTATATATAAATCAGAAATAACCAATTTAAAATGGAAAATTTTAAAGAAAAAAAAAGGAAAAAAAAATTCCCCCCCCCCCCCCCAATTTTTTGAACCCCCTTATGATTCATCACCCCCAAACTCAATCCCAGCCTTCCCTTTGTGGTATGGTACCTTGCAGTACAATTTCAGAGAGATCCATACACTTGAACACAAGTTATTGTCCTGAAACTAGAAAAATGCTTGTTTTTTGGCCCCAAATTCCTAAACGTTTAGGGCAATTACCCCCAAACTCAATTCCAGCTTTCCCTTTGTGATATGGAACCTTGCAGTACAATTTCATAAAGATCCATACACTTACACACAAGTTATTGTCCTGAAACTAGAAAAATGCTTGTTTTTTTGCCCTTTAATGGCCCCTAATTACTAAAATTTTGAGGGAATTACCCCCAAAATCAATCCCAGCCTTCCCTTTGTGATATGGTACCTTGCAGTACAATTTCAGAGAGATCCATACACTTGAACACAAGTTATTGTCTGGAAACTAGAACTAGAGGCTCTCAAGAGCCTGTGTCGCTCACCTGATTCTACTTTGGTTTTGGAAATCATGTAAAAATAGATTAAAATCATAACAGATACCCTAATAATGAGTGAGGCCAAATTTGGTTTAATATTGGTCCTGTAATTTAATAAAAAATCCTGGTGGCCATCTTGAACAGTAAATCGGCAACAAAGTAGCAACACTTCATCAGCACCTCATAAGAAACATTTATGCCATGTTTTGGTTTCATTCCATTCAGTGCACCTCTAGAAGAAGCATTTGTATGTATTTCCCATAGGGTCTTATGTTAAAGGAAGTCCCCCATTGGCGGCCATCATGGATGAAGGATCAGCTTCAAAGTAACAAAACTTAGTAAGCACCTCATAAGGAACATTCATGCCATGTTTGGTTTCAATCCATTCAGTATGTCGTTCTCTTAAAGAAGACATTTGTATGTATTGTCCATAGGGTCCTTTGTTAAACATTGTCCCCATCTGGCGGCCATCGTGGATGAAGGATCAGCTTCAAAGTAATAACACTTGGTCAGCACCTCAAAAGGAACATGCATGTCATGTTTGGTTTCATTCCATTCAATGGTTCTCTAAAAGAAGACATTTGTATGTATTTCTCAAAGGGTCCTATGTTAAACAAGTCCTCCGCTGGCAGCCATCTTAGATTATGGATCGGCTACATAGTAACAACACATGGTCAGCACCTCATAAGGAATATTCATGCCATGTTTGGTTTCATTCCATTCAGTGGTTCTCTAAAAGAAGACATTTGTATGTATTTCCCATAGGGTCCTATGTTAAACTAAGTCCCCCACTGGCGGTCATCTTGGATGATGGATCAGCTTCAAAGTAACAACACTTGGTCAGCACCTCATAAGGAACACTCATGTCAAGTTTGGTTTCATTCCATTCAGTGGTTCTCTAAAAGAAGACATTTGTATGTATTTCCCATTGGGTCCTATGTTAAACTAAGTCCCCCGCTGGCGGCCATCTTGGATTATGGATCGGCTTCATAGTAACAACACTTGGTCAGCACCTCATAAGGAACATTTATGCCATGTTTAATTTCATTCCATTCAGTGGTTCTCTAAAAGAAGACGTTTGTATGTATTTCCCATAGGGTCCCATGTTAAACTAAGTCCCCTGCTGGCGGCCATCTTGGATTATGGTTGGGCTTCAAAGTAACAACACTCAGTCAGCACCTCATAAGAAACATTCATGCCATGTTTGGTTTCATTCCATTCAGTGGTTCTCTAAAAGAAGACATTTGTATGTATTTCCCATCGGGTCCAATGTTAAACTAAGTCCCCTGCTGGCGGCCATCTTGGATAATGGATCAGCTTCAAAGTAACAACAATTGGTCAGCACCTCATAAGGAACATTCATACCATGTTTGGTTTCATTCCATTCAGTGGTTCTCTAAAAGAAGACATTTGTATGTATTTCCCATAGGGTCCTATGTTAAACTAAGTCCTCCGCTGGCGGCCATCTTGGATAATGGATCAGCTTCAAAGTAACAACACTTGGTCAGCACCTCATAAGGAACATTCATGCCATGTTTGGTTTCATTCCATTCAGTGGTTCTCTAAAAGAAGACATTTATATGTATTTCCCATAGGGTCCTATGTTAAACTAAGTCCCCCGCTGGCGGCCATCTTGGATGATGGATCCGCTACAAAATAACAACACTTGGTCAACACATCATAAGGAACATTCATGCCATGTTTGGTTTCATTCCATTCAGTGGTTCTCTAGAATAAGTTCAAAATGTAAAAAGTTAACGACGACGACGACGACGGACGCCAAGTGATGAGAAAAGCTCACTTGGCCCTTCGGGCCAGGTGAGCTAAAAATGCTTATTTTTGGCCCCTTTTTGGCCCCTTATTCCTATACTTTTTGGGACATTACCCCCAAACTCAATTCCAGCTTTCCCTTTGTGATATGGAACCTTGTAGTACAATTTCATAAAGATCCACACTTACACACAAGTTATTGTCATGAAACTAGAATAATGCTTGTTTTTTGCCCCTTTTTGGCCCCTAATTCTTAAAATTTGGAGGCAATTACCCCCAAAATCAATCCCAGCATTCCCTTTGTGATATGGAACCTTGTGACATAATGTCAGAGAGATCCATAGACTTACACACAAGTTATTGTCCTGAAACTAGAAAAATGCTAGTTTTTTGCCCCTTTTTGGCCCTTAATTCCTAAAATTTGGAGGCAATTACTCCCAAAATCAATCCCAGCATTCCCTTTGTGATATGGAAGCTTGTGGTACAATGTCAGAGAGATCCATACACTTACACACAAGTTATGTCTGGAAGTTATAAAAATGCTTATTGTTGGCCCCTTTTAGGCCCCTAATTCCTTAACTGTTGGTACCATAACCCCCAAAATCAATCCCCACCTTCCTTTTGTGGTATTGAACCTTATGGTAAAATTTCATTGAGATCCATTCACTTAAACTAAAATTAGAGTGCGAAAACTAATGTGTCTTCGGACGACGACGCCGGACGACAACAACGATGACGACGCCGACGCCAACATCATACCAATATACGACCACAAAAATTTTTTTGCGGTCGTATAAAAATTGTAACATCATGTAAATGAATACTTCTGGTATCAGAAGAAGGCTCATCTTATTTCACCGATTCCGAAAATAACATATTTTATTGTACTTTTGTAATGAAATAAGAGAGATAATAAGCCACTTCAGGTGTCAAATAATAGCTTACTTGATGCTGATTCCAAAAATATATGGTTCCTATCTACTTTTAATTGAAATAAAGGAGATAAGTTGCTACTTCCGATTTACAAAATGTCACTTCTAGTTTCAAATGATAGGTTACTTTACACTCGTTCTAAAAATATATGGTTCTAGGAGTAGTGTTCACAAGAAAAACAGTGTCCAGGAGATAACTCTTGCAATGGAAATTGATTGGTTAAACAGTGTCAGTTTTAAAAGCATATAAACTGTTAAATATCATATACCAGACCAGATATCTAAGGGACATGTCGCAAAACAACAAAACAGTACAAGAAAAACAATAATCAGAACAAAATCAAAAGGTCTTTTCACAGAAAAGTGGAAAATCCTGCATGATCTTATCAACAAACTAATTAACATTTGGCTTTAGGATAGATAGACCACCATTTTGAGATTTCCTTTAACATGATTAAGTTAAGTTTCTTTGTAAAAATATTTTCCCCATTTCTTTTTTAGGGCAACCATGCTTTTCTCATTTCTCCCATTCATACTTATTTTGTTGGGGAAATCACTGCATTATGGCACCTATTCTGGAGTTCACCTTTGGTTTTTGACGAGGTTAAAATTTTTATTGTTTTTAAATCTACTGTATTTAGCCGTGTATAATACGCATTAGTGTATAATACGCACCCCCTTTTAATCCCCACAAAATCGTTAAAAAAAATTTTTTTTAACAAAAATGAAAAAGTAAAAAAAAGGAAAATTAAAATAAAAAAGTAAATAAATTTTTTTTTTTTTTTAAAGTCTAGTTCACTGTTAAAAGCCTTTTATCATGTTAATAGGGAACAATTAAACCATGTACTTAATCTTCATCTAAGTCTATTGAAAGATAAAACTAATAAGATTGATTGTTCAATCAAATTATTTTAAAGTCACAAACAATCAAATGGTAGAGCTATATCATGTAATTAACATTTATTAATTTTATAAAATTAAAGTTATTAATTAAAGATCCCTTTTGAAATCAATGTTTGTCTAACCTTGTCCAAGCTGATGCTCTGTTCAAAAATTATAACAGA